GAAAATAATTGTATCTTCACGGCAAAATATACATTTTCCTCATCAGATTTATGGAGTTGGCAACAAATCACAGAGGCTAATATTTAAGGAAATGTCTTCCAGTGTCACACTTACCTGACGGTCAATGGCCCTTATATTTTTTGTGCAGTTTATCAAAGATAGTAGCTATTTTTAAAAGGACTCATCACAATGTCACGAACAGTGCATTAATGCAGAGTCACCAGGAATGACACAAACAACACTGTTTTGATCCAGTGTGACTCATCGCAGATGTTAACTACAGTACTGTGAGGGGAACAAGTCCTTTAGAATACATTTTTGTAACTAAATCAAGAGTGACAAGGCCAGTGTATATACTGTACATCTGAATATATATGTATATGAATTACTCAATTGGCGCTAAAACAAGCTTTGTGTCGTAGGTCATGTAGACCAACATGCTAAAGTGTACATTGCTGTGCAGAGCAGAAGAGTGAAAGAAAAGGCAGCTGACTCTGCCCCCAGCCTGCGCTCCCATGTCTATTCAGATCCAATGAAAAGGGTTGTGCTCTAGCTAGCAGCGCTCTGTTTCAGACCTCTGCTTTGACACTCATTCAGCTATTCAGAAAGCTGGCTGCTTGTGGAGAGCACATGTCAGTACTTAGGGAAAACGCCCTACACAATTGAAACATCTGTGTTATGGATAAATGGATAAATACAGAGATACAAATACTACAGTAGTACATAGTTAGCAATGTCAAGACAGATGAGATTGAAAGATGATTGCATTTCAAACCGTGACATCATAAGCACAAGGTATTAAAAATAAGCCCATTAAAGCATTACTGTAATATTTCATTTCTAGAACAATGTTGTGATTATAACACAGCAAGCTGAGTCCCTTTGATTTCACCATCTCTTATGCTGGAGCAGAGTTAAGTTAGTTTGTTAATACAATGGTTCTTTTAGACAGTTTGATCTTTATACTTATAACCAAAAGGTTCTTGTGTCAGGGCTGCAACTACTGATTATTTTCATGGTTGTTTAATCTGTCAGTTATTTTTTTGACTAATTATTTGGTGGGTAAGTTGTCAAAAATAATAGAAAACGCTTATCATAATTTCCTAAACCTTAGGCTTATGTCACCAAATTACTTGGGTTGTCTGGCCGAACACTATAAAACCTAAAGATACTCAGTTAGTTATCATATAACAAAACAAACCCACAGCAAATCATCTTGATTGAGAAGCTAGACTTGTTTTAGTATTTGTTTGAAAAAGATACTTAGGCAATCAATTATCATAAACAAAGTTAATGATTAAATACATCACATGAACTAATTGATTAATTGACTTAACGTTTCAGCCAGTTAGTGAAATGCTCACCAAGCAGAGAAGTGCTTAAGTCATGGCAGAAGCACAACAAAAGCTTTCCAGGAAACTATTTATGGCTCCAGAGCATAAACAGCTCATCAACATGTAATGTCTTGTTGTGGCTAAGATGTAATGATTTCACATGTATGAAAACATTTTCTTAAAGTATGGCCATGACATAATGCCTCCAAACTAGGAGTAGATTATATGACCAAAAATTCCATCTTGATTCTTTATTAATCGATATCGATTATCATCATGATAAATGTCTTATATAATTATTTCTTTTAAGTTTAAAGACTTAAAAACGTTTGTTTCTGAATGAAGGTAGTGATTTCAAACTTCTTCATGAGCAGAGAAAGACAAACACTTGATAAAACAATCTGAGGCAGATCAATCATATGTTATACCTCCTCACTATGCTTATACACTGCATAAACATCAAATTGATATATATTGAACTTCTGTTATATTGCTATTGATGACTGTTTTATTGCACAGCCCTAGTCCAAGCCTTGTGGGGATGAAGATGCATTAAAAAAAACTAAAACTAGCAAAGGATGTTGACTGGAGAAAATATGCACAAAAAAAACAAGACGCCTCTCTGAACAAAGTTTGTCTGATGACCTTTTCCCTACAGCACAGGTCTGTTTTAGAGAATATAATATACGACCAGCTGACACAGTATTTGCTATTGACTTCTATTGGTTTCTTTTGTTTGTGCAGCTCTTGTAAACTTACACATAACTCTCTATGGTCTGATATGACTCATGTTTTGTAGCTGTAATTTTGCAAGCATGACTTCTTCACCCCCCCTTTTTTATCTGTAAGTGTAATCAACAAACTCTTAGTAACTTTTCCCAAAGCCTAGGACTGTTTGTGTTTTTTGTGGTTTGCTTTGATGACGTATGTGTAGTTAATCTCTCAGCGTCTACGTCACTGGAGGCAAAGGTTGCCCTGACAGAAATAACAAGCCAGATAAATTTATTCTCAACACAGAAAAAATCAAAGACTAAGGAGTCCCTTATGGAAGAGGACGTGGTGGTGGTTTACAGATTTAGAGTGACACCTGTACAGAGGGAACAGATGAAATCAATAAGTAAAGTGTTTGTCTTGAATAACATTGTGGTTTGGTAGACGTTTTGTTTTTAAGTTCTCTGGAAGTATCGGCAGAGAGAACGAGCACATTATGTGACTGATGTTCACTCATGTGTGCAGACTGCTCTGGCTGTATCAGATTTTAATTGTTGATTCATATTTTTGTGGATTCACTTAGATAAGATTCAAGGAAAAGCTTTGGTCAGTGAATTGTCTAAACATTTATGCTGCTGCTGTAAAACACTAACATCACAGCTTCCTCTTTCTACTTTACTGCTGATATCTGATTATGTTTGTTTCATATCCAAACAACAAACTTCTGCTGAGGAAAACAAGAGCTCTGCCTCTGAGACAGATCGGAGCTGGGTTTCCTGCATTTAATAAATCTCTCCTGTTCTCTTTCGACAACTCCAAGACATCCAAGTCTGTGCTAAAGTACTTACTCTTTGTCTCAGGCCTTGTCCCAAATCACATTTTCTTGCTATCATGGCATCGATTCTTGGTCTCTGCAGACCGTAACACATGTGAAAAACACGCCTCCTGTGTTTTATTCAAGGTTTTGTTGTATGGTTAAAGTTTCAACACCTTGTTTACTGCCAAATGAATATTGCCAACATTTCCACAGATAACTCCAACATAGTTTTAGGTGCTTCAATTTTCTGCATCACATGTTACTAATTCAATACACCGTTAAAGAAGTCAAGATTGTACCCTGATCAAATTTCTACTAGGAATCTTTGCACAGTCATCAGATTGTTTATACAGAGTAATGGTAATTGTGACCTGGTATGAATACATCTTGTACAAACACAGCACTAAATAATTATTTGGCAGTGAAAAATGAAATGTAGTGCATCGGAGCGGATTGGCTGGGAACAGACTCACATTTTTTTGCCTCACAAAATCTGATGTTGAGTTGTAAATGTTCAAGCTTTCACTTTTGATGTGTAAGGGAATCAACTTTTCCTTTTTTGGCTCTGCTGTTCACTGTGTGCAAAGCTAGTAAAAAAAAGAATGTTGCCCAGCTTTATATGTGCTTAAGTATAATCTGTAAGACCACGTTGTCCCCACAATATACACAAATGACTGCAACCACCTACATTAAAATAATCAGTGTCAACATGTGTCATCACTGTTCTAGCCCGGAGCTGTGAGGCTCCACTGACTGAACTGTCAAAAACACACGAGAGCCATCTAGTGGAGACATTGGTCGGCCTGTGGAAGCCGAGTTCACTGTTTATCTTGCATTCCTGTATCTCGGGTGGTCTCACAGCTGCCTTACAAATGTAACAGCAGTGAAGACAAAGTGATTGAAATCACAAGGAGCAGACAGGTATCCTAGAATCATGGTACAAATATGAATAAACAACATTTTAAAGTATAATATTTACATTAACATTAATCCGTGTAGAGGAGCTAAGGTGGAATTATCTAATACCCAGGACCAACTGTCTTAAAAACATGTGAAATCAGAGACATGTAGATATTTCAGCAATTCTGTCCCATGCTTTTGAGAGTGAGGCAGACTCTGCTCTCTAGTGTTTTAGGGACAGCCTCAGTGGAAAGAATTCCTTCCAGGGAATACTGGAGCTATCACTCTGCAAGCTGACATATACCCCCCCCCCCCCCTTTGTGCACAGATTGTACTGTAAATGTATCGACATCAGAGAACTCAGTATGAAGAAGTCAGTGCGGCCCGCGGTGAGTAAGGTGAGCGGAGATCGAGGGAAGTCTGAGGCCGCGGCCACCGCTGGCACTGGAAAGCCTGCAGCCAAGACCAGCACCACAGCATCGCTGTCTAAGGTGAAACTCAAGTTATGATGGAGCGTTCAGCAGCTGATACAAGTCATTGTTTAACCAGGCTTGAATTTCACTTTCTTTTCTTGTTTGTAAGTGAAAGTGTCAAATGTTTTGTGCTTTCAGGTGAAAAGCAATGATGATCTTTTAGCAGCTATGGCTGGAGGGAATCCTGCATCAAGTAGTGCTGTCGCCAAGACCAAGAGGACTGCCTCTGTCGGGATTAGTGCTAACAACCTAGACAGCAAGCCAAAGACAACATCAGGTATACCTAAAATTTAATTCCTAGATATTGATGTAATACAGTGGAAACAGCTTACAATGATCATGTGATCTCTCTCTGATGCTAAGGAGCAGTAAATTACTGACAGAGCCAGTAAAAACTGTAAAAAATAAGTTTTTGTGCCAGGGCAGAACCCCCCCATCCTCGGGCAGACACCCAGGGAGCCATGCACAGCTCCACTGCCCCAGGGAGAGCACACCTAGCCAGGGCACGAACCCAGGGACCACTGACAGCTCCACTGCATGGGCCACAAGGTTCACAGCCCAGCCGCAGGGCCACCAAGCCCAGGCAGACACCCAGGGAGCCATGCACAGCTCCACTAAGTCCGCTCACAGCGATAATGTGGGGTGTTTTAATACATGTTTGGACCATAAAAATTTTGTTTTTTATGTTTTTTACCAGCTCCTACAGTTATTTACTGCTCCTCTCTGTGTCTCCTCACTTCCAACTGAAACGAGGCAAAACGAGCCTGCCATCTCCTGCGGCTCTCCATAACCCTAACCCAACTTGAACAACACAGCAGGAGGTTTTCCGCTCACACTTGGAGAAAGTCCGGAGTTTCTCACTCGGACATTTGCTCTTACAGATCAGTTTAGTGCATGTTTAAAAGCAGCTTATGTAAGTTCTACCTGAATTGTAAAGACAACCATTTCCTCTCTCCCTAGGTACAGCATCCAAGCGTGCAACATCTTCAACTTCCAAGGAGCCAAATTCATCACGAGACCGTCTTCGGACATCCAGAACATCAGCCACTAAGAAGCAGTCGGTATCAGGGACTGTAGCAGCGGATTTGGCGTCAGGGAAGCGCTCTCGCAGCCAGATTCTGACAGAGTCTGAGGGCCGCATGAGCAAGTCTAAATCAGACGGCCAGATTAGTGATAAAGTGGCTTTGGAGGCTAAAGTAAAAGACCTGTTGGGTTTGGCTAAAAGCAAAGAAGTGGAAATCCTACACCTGCGTAGTGAGCTGAGGGACATGAGGGCCCAGCTTGGGTTGGGAGGGAAAGAAGTGCCGCCGCAGGAAGAAGCTAGTGAGGAAGAGAAGCCCCACGTCTCAGCCATCACAGCAGCTGATGTGGAGTCTACTCTGATTCTTCTACAAGAGCAGAACCAGGCCATCAGAGAGGAGCTCAACCTGCTGAAGAGTGAGAACCGCATGCTGAAAGACCGACTCAATGCGCTGGGCTTCTCTCTGGAGCAGAGGCTGGACAGTTCTGACAAACTGTTTCACTACGCCTCGCTGAGCCCAGACCTGGCGGCAGGCAGTGGGCAGAGTGATGGTGGAGGCACAGGTACGCTGACCTCATCAGTGGAAGGCTCCGCCCCCGGCTCTTTGGAGGATCTGCTCACGGGACACCAACATGGAGGGTCGGCAGACAACCTCGACAGTGAATCGAGCGAGGTCTACCAGGCCGTCACCTCCAGTGACGACGCTCTGGATGCTCCCTCTGGAGCCTCCTCGTCTTCCGAGTCTGAATGTGCCCCCAGCAGGGAGCACTCACGGAGGGGCAGCAGTGGTAATGCCAGTGAGGTGTCTGTGGCCTGTCTGACGGAGCGCATCCACCAGATGGAAGAGAACCAGCACAGCACTGCTGAGGAGCTCCAGGCCACTCTACAGGAGCTGGCCGACCTGCAGCAAATCACTCAGGAGCTAAACGGGGAGAATGAGCGGCTCGGCGAGGAGAAGGTGATCCTCATGGACTCCTTATGCCAGCAGAGCGACAAGCTGGAGCTCTACGGTCGCCAGATTGAGTACCTGCGCTCTTTGCTGGATGAGCACCATATATCTTATGTGCTAGAGGAGGACATCAAGAGTGGCCGCTATATGGAGCTGGAGCAACGTTACGCTGACCTGGGAGATAATGCCCGCTTTGAGAGAGAGCAGCTGCTGGGGGTGCAGCAACACCTTTCCAACACGTTAAAAATGGCCGAACAGGACAACGCCGAAGCCCAGGAGATGATTGGCGCGCTGAAGGAGAGGAACCACCAGATGGAGCGAATCATGGATTCAGAGAGACAGGACCGGACTGCCATGGCGGCCGTACTCGAGGAGTACAAGGTGGCGGTGAGCAGTGACCAGGCAGAGCTGAGCCGCTGCAGAGCCCAGCTGGACCAGGAGAGGCAAAGGGTGGCCGAGCTGTACTCTCTGCACACTGCAGGGGACAGAAATGACATCTGCCAGCTGCTGGAGGGTGTTCGACTGGGGAAAGAAGAGGCTGAGGCCAAAGCTGCAAAAATGCAGAAAGAGCTGGAGCAAGCCCACGTTGAACTCAAGAGGATGCAGGAGACTTTCAGTAAGGTCAGTTGAAATTAAATGTGTAGATGCTAAGGAGTCTTAAAATAATTTAAATTCATGATGCAAGAGTTTTTGTGTAACCAACATAAGGGCTTCATTATCAATGATCAATACATGATTTTACTTTGAAAATCTCACAAATATAGTGGTCAATACTTAAAACATTCCCCATTAGCACCTCACCTGTGTACCACCAAACAGAGGAGAACTGTGCACATGTATCATCAAGACTGTACACAATCCATCTGGTTATGTTATTATATGACATTCCTGAAGCTTTGCTGCACATTTGTCTGATAATTTCTTCATAGCTTGTTAATAATTAAATACTCTTCATCCTGTGTGTGCAGCTGGACAGGGAATACAGAGAGTTCCAGCAGCAGGTGCAGCAGCAGATGGCCGAGCAGGATCGAGCTCTGGAGAAGCAGCGTGTGGAGCTGCAGGAGAAAGAGACAGAGATCGCCGACATGAAGGAAACCATCTTTGAGCTGGAGGATGAGGTTGAGCAGCACCGAGCTCTCAAACTGCACGACAACCTCATCATCACAGACCTCGAGAGTAAGTGGGTCGGAAACGCACTGGGTAGTAGGTTTATACACCTTCATGTTCAGTTATTTAGAGATTGTGTAAAACAAAAGCAGCATCTTCTAACACCTTAACTCTGCTCTGTATCTCAGAAGTTTTAATCTCCTGAGACGTGTGTTTGAATCCGTCTGTTGCTCCTGTTTCTTTACCACCAACTTATTTCTTCTTCCCATTTCAGACTCTGTTAAGAAGCTTCAGGACCAGAAGCACGACATGGAAAGAGAGATAAAGATTCTTCACCGCAGACTGAGGGTAAGGATGCTGCTCTGGGGTCGCAATGTTGTTTAAAGACGGAGTTAACCTTGAGTCAAATACTATTTGCGGAAATATTGTTTGCTTTAATAAGGGCTGCAAACCAGGGGTAGCATATCCACCAATGCCGTGCTGTTTATGATACAGCGGAGACAACTACATGACCAAGTCATTTTACATTAAAGCTTTCAAAGAAAGCTGATTTCACAATTGGTGACACAATTCAAGTTAATATCTACAACACTATTCTGACTAGTTCAAACTTAATTTAAAGTATATTGAATTGAGGCAAACTTGAACTAAGAGTACTCAGAAAAGTTAGATATCTGAAACTGGAATTAAATTCATAATTAAGTTGCAGATATCTGTAATACATATAAAAAAGAGAGGTGTTGATTGTAATGACAAACCCACACCGAATTACCACCTGAATTTGCTTCTTAGCATCTTATGTTTTAATTTACTGTCACTATTCCCATCAGCCTAGTCTCAGACCAAACTGCCCCGACTGCTTTAATGAACGAATGTATCATTTAGCCTTAATAATGTTCAATTTCATACTGTGTGTGTGTGTGTGTGTGTGTGTGTGTGTGTGCGCGCGCAGGAGGAGTCAATGGAGTGGCGTCAGTTCCAGGCTGATCTGCAGACAGCTGTTGTCATTGCTAATGACATCAAGTCGGAAGCGCAGGAGGAGATTGGAGACTTGCGGCGCCGGCTGCAGGAAGCTCAGGAGAAGAATGAGAAGCTAAGCAAGGAGCTGGACGAGGTCAAGAGCCGCAAGTAAGAGCCACAGAGGGATGTCTGGAACCCCTCCAGCGGTCACGCTGACATTGTCTGTCTAATGTTTCTAAATAAAAGGAGGGGACATGTAACTGCTTATCTGATTACGATGCTGGATGCCCAGCAGTGAGGTTCACGTCCATCTGTCTAAGATGAACAGTAGAAAATTACCATCACAGACCAAAAAACAGAATCATTCATCACACATTTGAATTAATTTTTCATCTACAACATAATATAAGTTCCAGAGTTTGAGCAATTCTCAAACCATAGTGTACAGTGTATATGTGCTCTGAGTAGATATTGTATGTTTCCCAGGCAGGACGAGGAGAGAGGCAGAGTGTATAACTACATGAATGCAGTGGAGAGAGACCTGGCTGCTCTCAGACAGGGGATGGGTCTCAGCCGGCGTTCTTCCACCTCCTCAGAGCCTTCGCCCACTGTCAAAACACTCATCAAGAGCTTCGACAGCGCCTCACAAGGTACCACACAGTTCTGATTTCATATTTTCTTGCTGATTGTTGTCTTGTATTTAACAAGTCTGATAGTGTGTGTGTGTGTGATTGGTACTTAAACCTTTTTCCTCCAAATGCACTTCTTTAATGTAAGGTTTGAGTGTGTATTACTGTTTCAGTGCCTGTTCTGAACATGCCTGTTTTAAATGGACTGTTTAATTATACTGCTGCGATGCTGTTTGCAGCTTTCTTTCTGAAACTGTAAAAGTGACCTGTAGTAATTTAGAGCGGCTCAACTCAGCACAAAGAACCTAAAACTAGAGAGTGATTCGTTGTTGCCGTTAACGTGCCTGTTGTCATTAACTGCTGTTGCCGTGCTTGTTGAAGTCACCTACGTTGATGATTCCCAGCAGCTGCTGGTATGGAGTGCTGCTCGCCTGTTTAGTCATCATTTATTAGTAATTGCAACTAAATGGCACCAGATTTGACACTGCTCTTCCTTGGGTCCTTAATAACACACATGCCAAGTGTGAAGCCGATAGATATGCATTCCACATACAGACAGAAAGACATTTCCGGAATTACTAGACAGATGCTAATAATAATTTCAGCTATATCATACAAATGTAGGGTTGTATTTGTTTTGCTTTTTCTCATCTAAAATTAAACCTGTTCCACAGCCACAGACCAACTGTCCTGTCCGTGTGTTAACTTAGGTCCACCTACCAATGGTGCCTCTGTAACGCCCACAGCCTCCGCTGCCCCCTTACCACGCACCCCCCTCAGCCCCAGTCCCATGAAGACGCCTCCAGCAGCAGCTGTTTCACCCATACAGGTACAGGAGGGAATACTTTGTCTTAATATGTTACTAAAATGCCCTTTTCTCCTGTTTAAACTTACCAATCTGTACTTTTTAGATGTTATTTAGTGACATTTTCTGTCCACTATGTGAAAAGTAGTATTTGGCCTCACTATACAGCATATAAAACAACATAACTCAGATAACTTTGTCAACACAGTGTGAATAAATAATTGAAAATGCACAGTGTAGTTTCCCACAGACAAAAGAGATGTTTTCAAATAACTTGTTTTATTCGACCAACAGGCCAGAACAAAGAGCTGTTGAGTTTACTATCATGTATGACAAATAAAAGAAACAAATCCTCACTTTCATTAATGCAGAGGCTGTGAATTTTTGAAATTTTTACTTGAAGAATGAGTCAAATGATGAATCAGTTACCGAGCACTGCCCTGTGAAAGTCGAACATCCGAAACATGAGCCAAGGAAAACAGCTGTTTGTAGCTTTCTGACATCAGTTCTTTCAGATTATCTAATGATTCTTTTATAATTCGTTTTTTATCTGAAGAAATACAATGTCATACAAGGCGATTCAGCATTATTTTATATCACCAACTTTGGAGATACTAGGTCCGTGTCAAAAAACCAAAAAACCAAAAATGTCATATGCTACATTTAACATTGTATTTATCTCTCAACACTATTCATTGAATTTGTTATACAGACAACTATTTATTATTATTTATTTAATGTTGTTTCAGAGACACTCCATAGCAGGGTCTATGTCAGCAGCCAAGCCGCTCTCCTCACTGAGTGATAAGAGGCCCAGCTACACAGACATCACCATGCCAGGTGAGGCAGCCGTCACCATGATGATTTCTCATTCACTGAATTAATATTGACACTTTCTTCATTTCAGAACTGTTGTTGTCAGTCATTTAAGAAAAACTGTCAAAAAGAAAAGGGCAGAGTTGTGTACTTTTAATTATGAGTCACACACAGGATATGGTCCTCTGCTGTTCTTCTGTCACAGTGAACTATCATAACGTTAATCGTGAATGGACTGTCCACTCTCATGAGAAATAAAGGAAGTGTGTTTCCCCAGAGGCCTGGTGTTTGGTGTAAGCAGGTTAACAGCTTGCTGATGTTATTTTTCTAGTTCATCAAAACACTAGAGGGAATGATAAGAGGGAAATAACGAGCCACCACGTATTATAGATTTTCCCTCGGTTCATTCTCACCAGTAATGAGTTCAAGTATTTCATGTGAACGTGCAGACTCGGGTGTAGCCTCCCAAGTTCCGTTTATTTTTCTCTGATTTATAGTTTTCTTGCCGAGCGAGTCAGCCTCGTGCGTCGGTAGTCCCTGAACTCTGAGGGGCTGGAATGTGACCCTGTAACATCTTGTTTCAGAGGAAGTTGCTTACAGATACACTCACTCTCTATATGATGTAAATACTGTGATGTATCCACAGCTGAGCACCTTCTCAGGGGAACCCCGGCCAGCAGACCACCAGCAGTCCTCCAGAGGGTCTCCAACATGGACTCCACCAAGGCAATCTCAGGTTAGAGATGCCAGTTCAATTACAAAGAACACCTCTCCCTCCATTTTAGTTAAAAAAGCAGCCTGTCACGGTCTCCCCCTGTCCTTTACAGTGTCCCGCAGGAGCAGTGAAGAGATAAAGAGGGACATGTCGGCTGCAGACGGGGCCTCCTCCTCCTCCCTAATGGCCATGACTGCAGTTTCCTCTCCGCTCTCATTGTCCTCTTCCTCTCCCACCGCCTCCATCACCCCCACAGCACGCAGCCGTCTAAGGTACATCCACTCAGAGCACTGCCTCAACTATACTCACTTCACTTCTGGTAGAAGTGAATCATGTTTCCAGCAAATGTGCTCAAGTTGACAGTTTTAATTCATTGTGGTTCCATTCTTGTCAGAGATTTTAATCTGTCAACTGCTTGTGTGACATCGTGTCTTTATACTGTGGTTTCGATTGGTCTACTGACAAAACATACAACCCAATTGATGTCAGCCTCCCTAAGCACACGCTTATCGTATAATATATTTTCTGCCCTAATTTGTTAAATATTTTAAAACTGTGGTAAAGTCTGTTTATATGTCTTTTGTGCGTGTCTGCTACAGGGAGGAGAGAAAAGACCCGTTGTCGGCACTGGCCAGAGAGTACGGAGGCTCCAAAAGAAATGCTTTGCTAAAGTGGTGCCAGAAGAAGACCGAGGGTTACCAGGTAGGTTACCTGCTTACTAAACTTCTGTGTTCTGGTTCTCATTGAAGCTAGTGGTTTGAAGCTAACACCCAAATCCAGTGGCAGATCTAGGATTTTTCTAAATCAGGGGCCAAAAGGGGCCACAATTTACACAGAGGGGGCATCTAATGTCCATGCACATTTCCTGATTCAGTAAGGGACATTTACCTCCTTGTTTACTGTTAGCTCCACAGATTTGAGAAAAGCCACACATCATTGAATATATTTTGTTCCTTTTCATTGTGTGCTGACAGGCCAGGGAATACTTTTAGAAACTGCGTCACACTCAAACATGACAGCCAGTCATAGCAATCTGTTCCACTGTCATTAGTGACAGGTTGTAACATAGAATCAACAGGCTGATTAAAAATGTCACTCTTCATGACAGGATGAAGTGGCCTTTATCTGTATTTTGTTACATGACGCCAGTTTCTGTCAACAGCAACAAAATGACTTATTGTTAAGTAAAGATGGAGGGGTTGAGCGACAAAAACAGTCTGCACCGGACTCTGCCACTGGTTTAGGATTTTTACGGTAGAATTGTTGATTGTTTTTTGTTACTGATGTTCATGTCTGTTTGGTTAAAAGTCTGCAAATATGAAAAGCAGGTAAACATTGTGTGTGGTAGTAATTTGAGCTGATTGTGATAACTTTTGTTATTCGACCAGTGTGACGTTGTAAAGAGGTCAATAGTTGAATTACTACAATGTGAGGACAACATTTTCATTTTAATCTGCTTAAAGGAATAGTTCACTGAATTTCATGGAATTTTCATTTTTTAGTGAACTATTCCTTTAACTGTCTGATAGCAAGTGCTGAGTCTGATGCAGCTTCCTGATCTGTGTAGAATTGTGTGTTATAGTCCTTTTTTTTACCTAGTCCCAATTAATACTACAAGTTTCAGGCAGCAGTGACTGAGCAGCCACTCTTTACAGAAGTAGCACAGGAGAGCAACTGATGTTTACTTACAGCAGAAACAAACTTACTTTGTTTTTCAAACACGTAATGAGCTACAGTGACCTGATTAATATACAAGACACCTTCAGGTTTCCATGTAAAGATTTAGATGTAGACCACCACAGTGTGGACTCTCTTCTGAGACAGTTGACTCAAATGGAAGAACATCTGCCCAAACATGGGCAGAGACAATAAAGGTCAAAGCATTGACTAAGAAATGACTTAGATGACAATCAGTGGGTTTGTCAAGAGTCACTTGCCACACTGAAGTGATGTTTACCCCTTTTAACAGCTGTGGTTTATGGTTACTATGGCACCTCAGGTCCTCTCCAGGAAGTGTGCAACATTTAACACATCCTGTGATGTGCCATACACAAAATCATGGGCTTTTCTCTGTGTACTATCGAGATTACATATGTGACAGTGACAAGACTTGAACATCAAGTTACAAATAACCTCAGTGTTTGTTTGCAGCTGTAAATCTGTGATTTTTAAAGGTCAGGTGAAAGTTGATGGTGGAAAATACGTCAGTTTGATACGTGGATTTACACTGTTAATGGTTATATCATTTAAAATATTTCCATGACAGGTGAAAATATCGTGACCATAATATCTTTTCAAGAAATGCTGAAACACGCAGTGACATTCAAGGTCTGGTTTAAAATGTTGTTCCCTCTTAGTTCGAATAAGGAGCAGAAATTAGGTTTCTATCGATTTTAAACTGTAAATGTTCTGTCTGATGAAATCAAAGTGTAACTGGATCATCACTGTGTTTTTCAGAACATTGATATCACCAACTTCAGCAGCAGCTGGAACGACGGCCTGGCCTTCTGCGCTGTGCTCCACACTTACCTGCCTGCACACATTCCCTACCAGGAGCTCACCAGCCAAGACAAGGCAAGTGGAGTTTAAAGAAAAAACCCAAACTTTCATTACCAGCATTTTTATACCTAATGTGTGTAAAATCATTTCATTTCTTCTCGTCCCTTCCACAGAGGAGAAATTTCTCCTTAGCTTTCCAGGCTGCAGAGAGTGTGGGCATCAAATGCACTTTGGTAAGCTACAGGTCCTTATGAAATAACTTATTGATTCATTTAAGAGTGAAAAACTACAGAAAGGAAAAATTCCCCTACTTTAAGGAAATCATACTTTACCTAAATTTGTACATAATGTAAACTCTAACGAATGTGCACAGAAACATGTACGCAGATTATGTTCTTTCTCTCAGAGCTGTTTTTGGAAGGCATTATTATTTGTACTTGTCCCCTGTTTTTCTTTTCATGATCGTGCAATTATTATTTTTTCCATTCTAATCTCATATTCTTTGCCAAGTCAAGATATAAATGTATGTCTGACGATGATTATCCAGACATGAACGACAGTGTGTTTTATGGTTGTAAAGTGTTTCGGCTGTCTTGCTTTTATTCTCATAAACCTCACTGACCTGCTGTCGTGCCAGTCATTACAAAATAAAGCTGTGCGACCAAACATTGTACAAACCCCCAGAACTCCATTTTAAATTGAGCTAGATATCATGAGCTCATTACTCTCAAACACTTGCAAGTCAAGATTTTTACACCATCATTTTTTTTTGTTTGGACAAATGATATCCGACGTGTTAAATCTACCTACATCCTGTGTTCTTCACTAGCAGCTGAAGTTTGTTGAGTTATTAATAACTTGTATGTTCAGAGTACACTCACCAAAGTCCGTGATCTCGTTAAGTAAAACAAATGAGCCCTATTTGCAATTTGTGGACGAGTTTTACAAGTCGCTGACAGAAGCCCCCGGTTGCATTGAACTCTTGTAAGACGAGATCAGAGAGTTTTACAGATGAGTCACGGGGCTACGATCTGATTTCCAACCTCCTGGAAATCTAGTTGGTGAAATCTCCAGCCTGCTTTGGGCCGGGCTCGATTAGGTTCCTCTCGGGTTCGGGTTGTGTTCAGACAGAAAAAACACTGTGTTGTCCACTGAACCATTTTCCCTCCTCCAGCTTGAGCTTCAATTTTAGAGGATCTTTCAGACTCACCATGTCTTCTCTCGTCTGTGTTTGTGATTAGTCTTGTCAGGACCAGTCTTGGATTTCTCCTGGTGAAAGTGTAGAGTGTGACCCTCCATTGCCAGTCAGCCAAACAGTATGAGCTCATCAGGACTGCGAGACTCTCGATCACACATCAGGATGTTGTGTAGCGTGAACTTCCCAGTGAACTGCTGACTTTGAAAGTGTGTTTTGTTTTTCCATTCCAGGACATAAATGAGATGGTGCACACAGAGAGGCCGGACTGGCAGAGTGTCATGACTTACGTCACAGCCATCTACAAGTACTTTGAGACCTGACTTCACCGCCTCGTCCACCCTGCTCCTGCAGTGCAGTCGGTGCCACGCCAGCCTTCCTGAGCTCTCAGCAACTTTTCAACGCCACAATCAACTGTTATACCTCACCGACCGCCTCCCCACACACCGAAGTGACACCCAGTCACGCTGCATGCATCACCTCAGTATTTAGCAACAATAAAGGCAGACCAGAACCTCACTGGATGCAACAGCTACTCCATCCTTCCACCAGGGCTCGTCTGTATGTCCACTGTTAGTAGTACGTCATTAGAATGGACTGGTGTGTCGACGTGGAGCCAAGTGTGACCTGACCAGCATTCAAATCCTTAAGATGATCTTTGCCTTCAGTTCACATCTGAAGCAGCAGCATGGAAAGGAAACCAAGTCTCAGTGCCTTCTACCTGGCTCCTCTGCTCAAATGTTCCTCCACTCTTAAACCATTTTCATGTCTGTTAAAGGGAGATTCCAGCAACTCAGACCTAAATTATTCTCTTTGCAAGAGGAGATATTTTCATAAATAGTCAGCGGTTTTTTCCTTTTGTTTGATTAAAAAAAAGTTTGCAGTGTTGGAATTCCCCCACGACCCTGTGAATTCCTGCAGTTAGGACGGACGCAGTATTCTTTTTGCACCAGATGTTACAGTGCGATACAGATGCCTCTCGTTCAGTGGATAAAGTGCCTGTGTGAGTTTTGATGAGCTCTGTCTGTGAGCCAAACCTCCGCAGAGGCAGCGTGGAAGTGTCTTTTCACTACAGTCTGTGAAGCCAAAAGCCAGAGGAGTTGTTGCCAAATATATTTCAGAGCCTTCCGATGGTTTATCTCTGGCTTTCTGGTCGTCAGGACAGACCGATGCTGCATGAAGCTTCACCATCTGATCATAGTGACTTTTCGAGCACAGAAATATGCTACGTTGTACAACATTACTACACTTATGTTGAGCAGCCATAACATACTCTGATAATAATTCATGAAGGTGGACTAAGAGTCATATGATATGTGTGGAATTTTGAACACTAATCTTACAACTTTATAATGTGAGTGTTTGCATTTTATAGGCCTGCATTTTGCCATCTTGCACTTAGACTTTCTTTAGGCACATACAGCACACAGCATCATTTCATCATAACCAAAGGATGAGTGAGTAGACGATAGTTTTCTCTCATAAAGTGTGATTTGATTGACTAGATTAGTTCTGCTTAGACTAGAGAGTCTTAACTTTTTATCAGCCTGAGGCATTCATTCAAGAAAATAGTCTCATACCCAGGGACTTAATGTGAGGAGAATGTGCTGCAGTTTGTTAGAAACCAGCTGACAGATATTCAGGTGAAGGACTCGTGTTTGTAGGTCAATGCAGCGTCTCATTACAGATACAGTTCAGTTATTTGGGAAATACATATGCTACCCTTCTTACATAGAGATGGATGAGAAGATTGATGCCTGTATATGACATATGAAGTGAGAGAAGGCAACTGGTGAGCTTAGCATGAAGACAGGAATCAGGGCCCGGTCACACATTTGTGTGAACCTTCGCCTTCCGTTCACCTCCAATATGTGCGAGCGAGGAGGCGAATAAAACGGGCTTCCAGTGAATCGCAGCGTGGCGTTGTGTGGAGTCACCTTCGCTTAACGTTGATCTGCGATATTCGCTTTGCTTTTGTGTATGTGTGCCCCGACCCTTAGGGGGAAACAGCTAGCCTTGGCCACCTGCTAACACCTCTAACCTCTGTAGAAATGATAAGTTGTAGTTTGGTTATGTGCTCATTTTGTTTTTAGCTTTAAAGGTGGTGATGGGCAGATTTTGTCAGCTGTTTCCAGTCTTAGCAGAGCGGCTGTATCATATTTGACATACAAGCATGAGCGGTATCCATCTTCTCGTCTAACTCACAGCAAGAGGAATCTAAAATTCTTTTGCACATCAATGATAAAACATGCACAGGCGATTGAAGAATCCATTGTGCCACTGTCTGACTTGGTGTGGGGATGCTGTGTTAGACAGGTCGTGTTTGAAGTTCTTAGTGTGATCATCACTTCAGAGAAGCAGTGTAGCACAGCGTCGTCTCATTTGTCTGATTTCAGTCAGTTAACTGTGCCTCATACAAGCTGTATTTATTTGCATGGTTTCCAATCATTGTTGTGAGGTTTCTGCTTTATTTGTGTGTCTGAAGTGTATCTGAATTCATTAGACGTGAAACTAACTAGATGCTCTGAGATGAGCTTTTTTTGTATTCCACTCGAAACGCCTGCCTTAACAGTTTAGTCAAAGTTCCTGCAAGTAAACGTCGGTGACGTTTCCGCCCGTGGTCGTCTAACCTCACCAGGCATGTGTGACATTGAGGAAGTGTTTTCTGAAACAAGCTTCCTCTTGTTTGTGCCTCTTAAGGAACTATAGTTGGGTTTCACACTATACTTTAAAGTTGGTTTAACTTCCGTCATGTGCCTGGTGAAGGGGACTACACTCTGTTTTGGAGCAGTTTGCTGGCAACAATACCAACGTCAACAGAAACCACATTGTAGCCACAACACCACAGTGTGTACAGACGCATCAATCAGTAATATCGAGACAGCACACAAGCCTGCAGCAGTGACACTTTCTTTTTAAGTTTAAGTGTGTGAGTGAGTTATTTAATGACATTTGAAAGCATTGGCTCTCTGTTGATGGGTTTTTGTGATGCCATGAAGCTGAGGATTATCAGCCAGCTGTTATACTGTGTTCTGCTCAATTTCACCACTGGGCCCCAAATGTTTTATCACTCCCGATAGGAACATCTGAGAGCTCCAGAAAGATTTGATGCCTCTCCATCCTGGAAGCGGAATGTGTTTTGATCGCGCTTTAGTGATCCCGGGGACTTTTACGAGGTCCATTGCGTGCTGATGTGGAGTGATTGATGAACATTGAGCCTCAGCCCGCCGAGGACGGACCAGGCGGCTGGCGAAGGCTTGGAGGCACATTCCACCTCCACACCATGCAACCGTGAGGGACATGTTACATCGTCTGGGACCTGAGATGATGCCCTTAAAGTGTAAAGCTTTACTGAAGCAAATGTGAACCTTTCTGTTATGACTTTATTGGGTCCACTTCATCTACAGCTACATTTATTTTTCTATGTTTACTTGAAAATGCTCTGAGAATTCCACTGAACCGCTTAAGTTTCTTTTTGTTTCCATGTTGCCTTGTTTTGTTTTTTCCCTTAAGAGAAAATCCTGATCACGCCTCCTGCAGTTCTCAAAAGTTCCCATGGCAAAGTTAAAGCTGAACGAATAAGTGTGTGTGTCTGTGTGTGTCTGTGTGAGTGTGTGTGTGTGTGTATAAAAGGGACTAAGCTACAGTATTAAGTGCACACTATGATGATAATCAGTTGTTTAATAAAAGGTCATCTGGTTTTATGTTGCTTTATTTTTTTTGGCAATAGTAATAAAAGACCATATGAAACAACCATGTTTGTGTGTGTTTCATGTTCTCCTGGCAACATTTTATTCCACTTATTAATAAACAATGAAAAGTGTGTGGCATTTACACAAAGATTAGTAATTAGAGCTTATTTGAATTCACTGTTCACAGAGTCCATTAAAGAGCATAGAGACAGACCTGGTACATAAATTAGCTGAATTTTAAATTGAAGTATATTTTAAACTAGTTTTTGATTCCAAAGAATAGGCATCTTCAAGATATAGATTAGCCCCCTTCACCACAAGACTTTAGACTGGTGCATGGGATAGTTAATAGATATATAACATGTAGTAACTAAGTAGCTAATAACTGGATATGTGGCCTCGAGTATAAGAAGATGTCCAGATCGTCTGCTTGGCTCAGTGTTCTCTTTTAATACAGACTCATCTGTGCACACAGCACAAGAACTGTGGTTAATGTTAGAGCAAGTCTGCAGGAAATCTAAGTTAATGTAATGTCCTCTGAAAGAGGAAGGAGGACACTGTGTGTGTGTGTGTATGTGTGTGTGTGTGAGAGAGAGAGAGAGAGAGAGAGGGAGGGAGGTTAAGAACCAGTCTAAACGTGTGTGAAGTGAATCAGCAGATAATCGCTCAGTGATTATCGTGTATCTATGATCTGTGCTGGAGGAAGTCTCATGTGAACGGAGGCGGGTTGTTCGTGTTGATCTCGGGAGCCTCTCACGTGTCGCTCAGGAAGCGCTAACTATTTGCACTTTTCATTTTTCAGCTGGAGCGTTTCTTCCATCCCTTTTTAAAGATCTACTTTTCTACGCTGGGTAAGAACATCCAGACAAACAAGGTGAGCCATTCGAAGTTTGATTCTGCCTGAGTTTGAATGTTGTGATGTAGTTGTTCGCTGTGCCTTCTCAGTTCGGTCAGTCTTTCTGCAGGTTTATTATTTGTATTATTTGTATATTATATGTAAGATAAACGTGTCCAGTAGCAGAGCTGCATGTGCAGGAGAAGTGATGTGGTGCGGGCTGTCCCACTCTCACAGGTTCAAACACCTGCTGGAGCAAAATGTATTTAACTACACTGACCCCGATCATTCCTGTAGTGAGTCCATCAAGTCTCTGATTTATTGATCTGTCTATTTATCAGTTGTCTATACACCTTCACCGTCCTCTGCCTGCTGCTCTGTGTTTAACAGACTCCCAGTCCACTTACTGTATGTCCACAAACACGGTCCACATCATAAACCATGTGTGTCTAGTGACCAGCATCTGATCACATGACCGGATCAAGCTTTAGAAGATGCTGTTGTGTCAAACTCAACTTTACTGACAATATGTACCATATGTACAGGACATGGGCAGGATTGAAATGTGGATTCTCTCTGATCCCTGGTGTAGACACGAGAGTAGATTTATAAGTACTCAACATAAAAGTACTCAAGCGACATAAGTACATAACATGTAAATACTCAACATTAAGGACTCAAGCTTATGCTTGAACATTTTTATAAGCAGTTTTTTTTCAACCCCACTGTTTATTGGTTGGTTTTTAAGCAAGATTCCACAAAACCAGACAGATTACCATGGAACTCTGTGGAAGGATGGGTCAGGTAAGATCACACAACATTGTGAAGTGGATCTGGATCAGGGGGTGAGCAAGGAATTTCTTTTCCATTTCTTTAAAGGGCCAGTGTGCAGGATTTAGAGGAAGGAACTACGTATAATATGCATATTTATCTTGTCATTAGTTTGCAATCACCTGACAAAGAATCAGTGTGTACTCGTTACTGTTTAACAACCTGTATATATCTTTGTGCGGAGCGGGTCCTCCCATTAGACCTCCATGTTTTTACAGTGGCCCAGAACAGACAAACCAAACAATGACATTAAAGATGGCTTTTCCATTTTTATGTTACTGAAGGCCACTATTGTTTCTTCAACATGATCGAAAATAGCGGGTGTGACTAAGTGTAATCATCTGGTTCCAATATACAACTTTACCACTAGATGCTACTCACTGGATCTTTAACATTTTTTTGACATTTTCATTGATTTCTTAGAAAACAAAAAAAAATCAGGCATACAGAGGAAACAGATGCAAGTGTGGGCAACTGGTGCAGCTCGGTTGAATTTAAGGGGAGTGTTGGGCCTCGTTGGAGGAATGTCACTCTACTTTATTAATGCAAGTTTCTTTAAGAAAAAGAGTGTGGGGTTAGTTGGTGTTAATGCTTTGTTTCATAATCAACTGCATCTTTATTTTGATGCTTAAATATACATTTAAACTTGGCTGGGGTGGAGTCAGCTCCTAAGTCAGCCTTAGGTATGTTTGAATCAACCAGGACTACAGTTGGTCCAGATCAAATCCAGACTGATGAGCTCAGAGCAAAACTAGTCTCATTTTAGGTCTGCAGGAGATCAGGAAGGCAGGGTCTACCTCCATCTCACATCTTAACGTTGGAAAAATATAATATAAAGCCCTTTATCATCGGAAAACAATGCCTGCACACTGAGAAACACACCCGAGGAAGAGCTGGTAATGGGACAGAGAAAAATTAAAAAAAGATCAAATTCAATTTTGTGCAGCCCATATTCACAAATCTCAAGTCATAGGTCTTAACAAGGTGTGACATCCTGTGTCCACACAAAAGTGATGAGAGGGAGAGAGCAGGTGACAGAATGTGGATAGGACAATAACACAAACATTTTGTAGGAAGGTTGGTTCTTCATCTCCGAGTTATAACATGGTACTTAATGATCAGAGCGTGATGACAGTTATTGTTGTCTGTGTGTCAGTGTTTGTCTTATTGCCTGTTCTGGTTGACGCACGGTCCGGTCGCCCTGCCACCAGCCATGTTGTCTCTTTGAGCGAACATGAGCGCGCAGCTCATGTTCGCAATCACAGTGTCTGTTATCAGGAAGCTGTAGGTGGGATGTTCGCTCCTCCTGTGCTTCATCTGTGACGCAGTACAATGAGGTGATGTGTTTTCTTGGTGTGCTCTCAAAGGGGTTTGGGGCAAATTCACTCAGACATTAATAGACTTATCATGGTATATCAATCCTTCATTTTATTTCAGAATTTAAAAGAGAGTTCAGTTTCTGTCTTTAAGAAAGTCCTTACGTCCCCTTGTTTCTCTATTTCACTAATCCCTGGAGTTTCTCTGTTTCATCATTTTATTTCAGGATAGTTTGTTATTTTATGGTGCATTGCTGGCGTAGTATTCAGATTAATTATTTTTTACTACTCTTCACAGGGGATTTTTGTTTTGGATGCATCTCCGCTGCATCAAAAATCATTATACACTGCAAGATAACACTGAACCCCATGACATCGAGACAAATGAAGACCTGCTACACTGAGGATCGAGACCAACAAAAGAGTAATTTGTGAAATAGAATGAAAAAACTTTGCAGTATCTAACATCCTTGGAATAACAAGACTTTAGTATCAGTATGATCCGGCCCGAAGGGAAAAGCCTGACTGAGAGAGTAAAGACCTCTGTGTTCCAGCACAGCTGTTATCTCCTAAAACTCTGCCTAACCCCAAGAAACATTCCCTCTAAGGAAATCCAGCACCGCAAAAACAGCCGATTTCTGTTTGTTAAGCCTTTTATGGCAGACGGTCTGTGGGTATCAGGGAATCTAACTTCAATGTCATGCACTAATTGAGAAGAGACCAGGAGCCATATTCTAACAACCACTGCACAGAGGAGGCATGGAAGGAAAAAGGTCTGAACCAGACTGAAGAAAAGACACATTCATCCAGTGACATTTACACATTACAAAACAAGCAGCAGCTGCAAAACCACAGTATGGTTCAATATTATCCTCCAGATGACATGTTGTTCATCTATGATTTGTCCATCCATCCATACTTCTATCTGTCCGTCCTTCCGTCCGTCCATCCATCCATCCATCCATCCATACTTCCATCCATCCATCTGTCCGTCCGTCCGTCCATCCATCCATCCATCCATCCATCCATACATACATACTTCCATCCATCCGTCTGTCTGTCCTTCCGTTCCTCTACCCATCTATTCGTCCATCCATTCTTCTATCCATACATAAATCTGTGCATCTGTCTGTCCATACGTCCATCCATTTGTTATCCATCCATCCTTCCATTATCCTTGCCGTTTATCCTTTGAGGATTGCTGCCTCTCAGGTGACATTGGGTAAGAGGCGGGGTAAACGGTGGTGGTAAAGGCAGTGTTTGTGTATCGCTGGACCAACATGACCCCAGTGATACACAAACAAAAAACCAAACAACCATCCACACTCACATTCACACCAATTACACACAATTCTTCAATCAACCTCACCACAATCAACGTGTGTTCAGTCTGTGAAAGGAAGCTGGAGAACCCAGAAAGACTCCAGAACGTTCTTGCTGTCCTGCTCCACATCCCTGGCATGATAGCTTCATATCAAAACCTGCTCAGAAGGTGTGTGCTCTTCTCACACTCTACACGGCATCCACTGAAGCCACAGATTAAGAGAGACCGCCAGAGCTGAGTTATTAAAAATGAATCAAAAGGGGCTAAAGAAATTCTTAAAAACTAGCTGCAAACACAAAATCGATTAGAGCTCCTTTAAAGTTAGTGCAAACAAATAAACTGGCTATTTAACACATCTAGCAGACATGAAGTATTGAGCATTGCATCGATGTATCTGACCTTTGACCCTCTGGCAAATTGTAGTGCAATATTTACTTTGAGCTATTAAATACTCACCAGTTAGTAACTGTTTAGAGGTCAGGGGTATAACCAATGTTTCCTGAGGGAAGGAAACGAGCAACAATACCATCCTTTCTAGAGAGTATTAAACCATGTGTAGCCCCACAGACAGTCACACTGGACTTCACAGATGCTTTGAGAGAGGAGAGGTTGGTCTGATGAAAGGAGGAACATTTTTGGCCTTTGGTCTTTTTGGTCTTGGACTTTATCAGTTAGTAATGTGGGACTTTTTCAAGATATTTTTTCCCAAACAGTGATTCATTTTATTTGATTGTCAAGTTTTTGACCGTCAAGTTCGATGACACATAATGTGTATAATTTCATTTCAAGGTGAAGACATGTTTTAAAGTTAAGGTTTAGGCAAGTATGAGTAAGTCTCTCTGTAATGTCCTCTAAAGTCATGGGAGCACAACTGTGTGTGTGTGTGTGTAATCTGTCAAGTGGTGTTCTGTTCTCGTGTGTCTATTTTTATTGTGACTAACCAATGGTAGCTATGGTAAATGTCTGATGTGCATGTCAGTTGAAATTCACTTCCTTGATGATAAAGATGTTTCCTCTTTTTCACTTCTGTACCTACCTCTCTATCTGTGGAGCCTTAACATTCCAGTTGTGCTGTTAGAGGAGAGAGGACAGCAGAGCAGCTTTTTAAAATGTTCTTTTCTTTGTCACCAGGAGAGAATGGAGGCGACTGTGTCCCGTGTCTGGACTGAGGAGGAATGATAGATTATTCTACAGCAGCAATGGTCGTTGAGGCGAGGTTTCCTCCCTCCTCATCAGTGACCTCGTCATTTGTCTCACCATGCCTGAAGACCCCGTCGCCTCCATCCTCTACATCATCCTGGAAGTGCTGATCGCTGCGTTCTCTGTGCTGGGCAATGTGCTGGTCTGCTGGGCCGTGTGCCTCAACAGCAACCTGCAGACCATCACCAACTTCTTCGTGGTGTCGCTAGCGGTGGCTGACATCGCCGTGGGCGTCCTGGCCATCCCTTTCGCCATCGTGATCAGCACCGGGTTCTGCTCCAACTTCTACGGCTGCCTCTTCATCGCCTGCTTCGTGCTGGTTCTCACTCAGAGCTCCATCTTCAGCCTGCTGGCCATCGCTATAGACCGCTACATTGCAATCAAGTTACCGCTCAGGTCAGTGACCATGAGGACAGCCCTCTGAGGACTTACTGAATTAGTTAGATATTAGTCAGAGAAAAACAGAAAGGTTTGGTATCACTAGGCATAAGGCCAAAAATTATATCAAGATAAAAATGTTCATATCATTCGAAATTGATTATTATCACAATACATGACACATTATTATTTCTGTTTAATACAAAGACATGTTTAGCTCCTAAGGGAAGTAATGGTTTTAAACTGTCCTGCGACAAACACTTGATATACAGCAAAACATTTAAAAAATCTGTCAATTGTAACTTTTGTTGGTTTACAGTTGATGAAATTTTATTGCCATAATCATTGATATTGTTTTATCTCCCAGGTCACATTCTGATCGACACCATTTATAAAAAACTTGAACTACTATCTATTTGCTATCAAGGTGTTCTAGACTTGATAGAATAATGATATACTAATATAGATACCTACAGACCAGACCTGGGCTGGCTATAAACATTTATAACAGCATTTTATTAACAATGACAGAAGTTAATAAGCACCAAAGAAAAGCAAAAACAAGGCAACACAAAAGTTGTACTTAGTATTTTAATGAATAACTGATATATTTACATTTACATTTACATTTAGTCATTTAGCAGACGCTTTTGTCCAAAGCGACGTACAAGGGAGAGAACAATCAAGCTAAGAGCATTAAAAACCTGGTGTAACAATAAATACTGCTTATAAAATGACATAGAAATAATAAAAAAAAGAAGTGCGGGCCTGTTACTGCTTAAGTGCAGGTTAAGCCAAGGTGCCAGTTAGGAAGGGAGGTGCTCTATATAAAGTATTACCATATTACACATTAGCTATAACTACAATAATACCTTCAGTGTAAACTATTTAAAAAAGTTGCTGTAAAAGTTCTTTATTGTGGAAGAAAAAATAAGAGCATAAAATAATCTTCAAGAAAAAGAACACATTTAAAATGTCCCGTAATGTATTTTTCTTTAGCTTTTTTTTTCTTACTCCCAGGCAGCGAGGGTCTCTCAGTAAAACGTCATATTTCATCTCAGACTATCAGCTAAGACATATCATCTGAAGTGTGTCCAGAAACGGCGACTTCCCCTGAGAGCAATCAAAATGAATATCGCTCTAATTGCTTATACAGACTGTGTGACCCTCTTGTAAGCCCCTGTGTGATCTGACTTTATGATTTAACTGTAAAAACACATTCGTTCATCTGGCTGTTTATGCTAAACGACAGCTTGGACCTCATTCTCTTCGGGTGGTCTCCAGCCATTAAACCTGTTGTCTTGCTCAACCTCAGAGCTGCTTTGAGATCTATCTTCCTGTTTTTCACTCTTCTCCTGCTGAAGATCCATTAGGATTTGTAAACGTTTGTTTTCTGCGTCCCTGATGAAGGAAGTTGTTTTTGCAGCATTAACCTTTGCACTTTAACATCTTAAGAATGTCATAGAAACAAGCCAAAGATCTCAGCTGCTCTCCCACACTCAAAATAGACTCTTCCTTTGAGGAGTCCTGAACTGCTTTGTTTATTTATTCTTTCTCTTTTAGTTCCGTGATGAGTTTGTGATTCCATGGGGCAAATCAGATGAGCCAAGTGAAGGATAAATTAATACGCTGTGGACAAATATTATAAATTCCATGTGTCTTATTGTTGGCAGCTTATTTGATTGAATTTTAGTAATCTTTGTAGAGCGGATGGTCATTTTTTTTCTAGTCTTGATAAACACTAAAAGTGCTTTACAGTACAGTTTTTACCCACACACATTCATACAGTGTATCTATGTGCAGATTATCATACAACAATCACACACTGCCGGCAAAGCTGTCAGGGGCAATTTGGGAAACTCGTCAAGCGTAATGTGGGGGAGACGGGGATCTGGAAAAAGGGAGAGAGACCAGGTCATTTTAAAGCTCAGTCAGACTGGTTGTGATAATAGAAATAATACGAGTGATACTTGTAGATGTAAAGATGTGACAAGTGATAGGAACACCAGTTAATATTAATAATATTAGATTTTATGAAAAACTTTAAAATCTTCCGTGCAGATAAACCAGGTAGGATGAACATAAAGCTCTCTAACTTCACTCTGCACCATAGACTGTTTATAAAAAGCTCTGCACACAATGTCCAACACACAAACAATAAAAACAAGTATTGTAGAACTGTTTGAGGAGGACTCACTAATAGCAAGGAATAATTCTCAAATTACTCTGGACCATTAACACACGATAAGAGAACAGTCCATTCTGAGCAGACAGGCACTTGTATTATTATGATTATAAATTCAGATATAATAAATTAAAAGACCCAAAGACCCAGAGAAATGACAGACAGCTGATACTTGACGTGTCGTCTCCCTCCCCAGGTACAACAGTTTGGTGACAGGCCAGCGGGCTCGTGGCATCATCGCCATCTGCTGGGTTTTATCCATCATCATCGGTCTGACCCCAATGATGGGCTGGCACAGGATGACTGAGAGGGGCAACAGCTCCGTCTCCTGCCTGCCCGGCCTGATGAAGTGCCTGTTCGAGGAGGTGGTGGAAATGAAGTACATGGTCTACTTCAACTTCTTCGCCTGCGTACTGATTCCTCTGCTGCTGATGCTGGCCATCTACCTGCGTATCTTCATGGCTGCTCGTTACCAGCTCAAGCTGATGGAGGGGAAGGCGGCTCATGGGGAGAAGTCGGGCTCTACGCTGCAGAAAGAGGTCCAGGCCGCCAAGTCTCTGGCCATCATCGTGGGGCTGTTTGCTGTCTGCTGGCTGCCTTTACACATCATCAACTGCTTCACCCTCTTCTGTCCCGAATGTGATCGTCCTCCGGCTTGGATCATGTATGTGGCCATTATCCTCTCTCACGCCAACTCTGTGGTCAACCCCTTCATCTATGCCTACAGAATCCGGGAGTTCCGACAGACTTTCCGAAAGATTATCCGGCGCCACATCCTGGGCCGGCAGGAGCTGTTGGAGAGTGGCAGCAGTAAACACAACTCCACTCACAACAGCATCACAGACTCCATCAGACTCAAGGCGAACAGCCTCAGCTTTCAAATGTTCACTGAGCACAGCAGCGGCAGCAACTGTGAAAGCTCCTACATCTGCCCTGCTCTCATCTCTCCTGTAGGGGGAGGACTCTTGGCTGTATCTCATCCCTCTCTGTCAGTCATCATCTCCCACTGTCCTCAGATGGAACTGTGTCCACTGCAGACCCCCAGACAAACTCAGATCCCAGTGGGTCATCACCTACAGTATGGGGAGCAGCAGTGTGGCAGCAGTGGACCTGTAGTCAGGGAGGATAAGGACCAGGTGGCATCACTGTTAAATAAACAGGACAGGAAGAGCAGCTGTGGTGAGGTGGAGAAGGTTTCCTGATGCAGGGGCGGGGGAATAACTGATGCTTTTTTCAGACAGGCACTGGACTCCAGATAATTTCCTGATTTTATCCTAAGTTGCTGTATGTAAGAACGCAAATGCCCAAGCGAGAGGCTCCAAAGGATTCATGGAGATCAAGTGAGCATGTTGATGATGTTTCTAACAACAGACGGAGACAAAAACAAAAAACAGATTATGTAGAAAATCACTGAGATGACTTAAATCTCTCTCTCTCTTTCTCTCTCTTCATCTCTATCTATCTATCTATCTATCTATCTTTCTATCTGTCTATCTATCTATCTATCTATCTATCTATCTATCTATCTATCTATCTATCTAATTTAAACCTTTATAAGAGTCTGTGAGTACTGCTAGTTTCCCAAAGAGTTTGTGCTACATCACAAAAGTGGTTTAAACACACTGTGCCACTTCTTATTTTAAAGTGTAGACACTTCACAGTTCAAAGAACTGCTTCTAATTTCAGCAGAGGAGAAAATACTGAAAACTTTCTCTTCCTCTCTGAAAATGGATGTTTCTACTGTCCAATGAAAATGCAAAACCCACCAAGGCTCAGCCAAATATGGACAAAGAGACAGTCTGCTCCTCGGATGATGTCTCTTTGAAGGTTGAGAGAACGTTCCATAGTCACTGGATGAAGATGTGAATCCTGCCACTTCTGATGTGAACGGGCCTCGTGCTGGAGATAAACTTATCTGATACATAAATACTTTTAATTTTCAGGGATGTGGATATAAAGTCTGAATCTTTTTATCTTGTACCACCATCATGGAGTACGAGCAGAGGATTGTTTCTTCAACATTAATGCGTCATCACTTACACCATTTATAGCCTCACCCCATCTTGAGGCCCTGCACGGTGCACAGACAGCGCCACCAACCTGTACAGCAAAGTATCTGCATAATGTTAAAGGTTTTTTTTACTTTCAGTCTATACTTTGCATCATGATTTCAGCTGTTTGGCAGCAACTTACGTGCACTTCCAACACAGATTAATGGATTCTGATTATGTTTAGGACTCAATGTTGTTTCTTTTTGGACAAAAACAAATGAATGACTGTACATGTGTTTGAATAGTTTCACATTTTTAAAAGGATAAACCTCAAAGTTGTTGATGTGACGCTGATTTGTAACCTTGTGTTTGCTCAGTGTGGCAATGTGACTTGATTCTGTGCTTATTTAAGTTACTGACATAGTTGGAGGAGGGATGGTTTGATATGGATTGTAAAATGATTTTAGACTCTCCTCAGTCCAGTGCAGCTATCACCTTCTGTGAGGAGGTTGGCACAAAGTTCTGTCTTTAAATAAATGGCTTTATGTTTTCAATGTGTACTTGCTGTATTTACATTCAGCCATAAACAGTCCCAGTCATTATTCAGTAGATTTAAGAACTTCTCAACATGCAGGCAGGCTCATGTGTCATATCAGATCTGAAAGTTCTCAGACTTTTCAGTTCTATTTACTCATTCTGGGAAATGCTTCATTAAGCAGTCAAACTATCTTTGGAGGTCTTTATTTTCCTATCTTCCACTGGACTTTCCCTTGTGAGTTCAGGTTACAGGGCTCGGAGTTTTCTTTTTGAAAGCTTCCCTTGGGGTCTTTAATGCTTTTTTAAAGATTCACCACGGAGACCTCCCGAGTCTCTGCACGCAGTCGCTCTCTTGTGTGGCAACATCTTGTCCCACTAAGCGGCATCCTTGCAAAGTTATGATTTCATGCTGTTTCACCTCTATCCAGTTAGGAAAAGATTTTTTAATTTGGGGAAATACACTCGAAAGAAAACTTAAGTCTTAAATATGCAGCACTTTAGCATAAAGACTGGAAACAGAGGGAAATCAGAAAGTTATTTTTCTTGCAAACTGAATAGTAAACGTGTGTCTGCCTCCATTATCAAGATTAAATCTGGATTTTAGAACAGTGTTGGGCTGGGCCGTAACTGCATTAATTCTAAGAAACCTCTTTTTTTCACTCAGTCATGACATCACTGTCTAAAAAGAAGCTGTAAAGTCCAGAGTGTTGGTCTGTGTCTGTGTAGAGACTCCATGGATACAAGCAACAGTCATCCCTTGTCCTCTTCTCTTTTTTTTTAAAGACTTTGGTTTTGAAAAGGAGAAGAAGAAGAGGAGGATGCAGCAAGTGTCTTTATGTGTGTGTGTGTGTGTGTGTGTGTGTGTGTGTGTGTGTGTGTGTGTGTGTGTGTGCACATTATCCAGGCCACTTCATACAGCCTCTCCCTCAAAGCTGAGTCTTTGGAACAAAGCATCACTGACTTAACAGCCGCTGTTGCTCTGTGAGTCCAGTCTGGGCCTGTTCCTCTCTGGACTCTTTGGAATTAACAGCTGCTTCAGACCCCAGGTCGAGGCAGCGTCCGAGGAATTCAACTACAGTCAGGAGCAGAACATGTTTGTCACTATTCTGTTTGGAGGTTAGTAAAGACAGATGCATCCATTCTGTCTGGTTTGAAAACATTTGAATCAGTGTTTCTGTCCATGAAAAGTAGGATTAGACCTGGTATGTGAATTATTATGATTATTCTATTTGAATGTGCTGGAACATCTCTGAACTACAGTAAAGTAGTTACTTTGATTCAGCAGTCAGTATGTATTGTGTACTGGTTTGTTTTGTGAAGGCACAGAGATAGCAAACGTGTGAAATAATGAAATACATAAATTATGAAATAATCAAAGTTCAGATCTGAATGTTAAGTGTTTGTATCTGTAATGTTTTGAATGTCTTGACAGACAGCAGGATGGAAATGTTCAATCTCAACTGTAAGCTGATAGACTTCATACGCCATGTAAAGGAGAGGAGTGGTCTGGACTTTAAAGGTGAATGTTTGAGTGGACTGCAGTCTTGTTCATTTCCACTCAGGACACGGGGTTCACACGTCCTCCTCACTTTTCAAAATCCTTCTTTTGCCCCCTGACTTATGATTTCAGGTGGTTTGAGTTTTTTTTATCAAAGTCTCTTTGAACCGTTCTCTCACTGACCATTACAAAACATCCAGATGAGAGAAGAACTGTGAACTGATGAACAGGTTGATCTGAGCCGAATCTCATATTTGTTATCACGGATGGATGGATGGATTGATTGATGGATGGATGAATGGATGCATGGATGCAAGGATGCATGGATGAATGAATGTATGAATGGATGAATGGATGCATGGATGGATGGATGGCTGTTAAGTTGAAACAAATAGTTTAAGGTTCAGAGTGTAGCATCTAGTGACATCTAGTGATGAAGTTACATTTTGCAGCTGAACACCCCTCACCTCACCCTCCCCATCCAAACACAAGAGTGAACCTGTGTTACACTTCAGTTGTCATAACAACTCAAAAGATGATTTAGTTTGCACTACTGTAGAAATACATGGTGGCCTCCTTAGAGAGGACCTGCTCTGATTTAAATATCCTAAGGTAATGAAAACAACAATTTCTACAGTTTAGATGACACAGACTAGTGAAACAACACTGGGATTATTTTAAATTAAATTCTTTTGCCTAAATCATCACTGAAGATTATTGAATTATTATATTGAACATTAGTACAACATATGAATACTCTTGGAGTTGTAGTAGGAAAACTACTGTATCATGGTGATCAATACAGTGTTACAACAACATAATGTGCATAAACCATCAACTCCCCTATTTTCATATTTATCATTTGTTTGGAAAGAATATGCCTGAAAATCAAGGTGAGTTACTTCTACAATTCATTACTTCAATAAATACAAGGTATGATACGTGTGAAATGTAATAAATCCATATCATCTACTGACTGACAAGTCACCAGATTCATTACATTCACTCTTTGAAGGAGAAAGAAATTAAAACCAAGCTGCTGTTTGTGTAGAGTGTGTGGACCTGATGGACAGCAGTGGTTCAGTGATGAACTTACAGGACAAGCAGCACAGTGTGGCTCTGGCCAGCAGCATGTTGGTCCAGAGACAATACTATGTCCTCCTACACGTCTGCCGTAAGTCTGATGTCTGTCCATCCATCTGTCCATCCATCTTTCCATCCGTTCATCCATCCAATGGTTTCTAGATTATATTATATTTTGATTGTGGTGGACATAAACTCTTTGCTCTTGACAGTATTAGTACAAAAAGTAGATTTCAGTCTCAGCTTAATCACACATCAGAATTCATGACTTTACTTTCCTCCAGGAGATGAAGATACTGGAGGTCGGAAATACGTGTCTCTCTTGAACAACTACAGCCAGAGTCATCCTGAGTTAACAGGTGAATACTCTCATCACAGCAGAGGAACGGTACTGACTGACCTGTAGACCTGTGGAAGCGAAATGGCTCTCTGAGGCCTCCTGTTGGTCAAAGCATACCTCAGTTTATGTTTGTCATGTCTTCTGATGTAGAGCTGTTGAGGAAACTAACAAACCCCAACAAGGAGCAAGACAGACAGATCAGAGGACGCACACAGAGGAGATTTCCTGTCCACCAAACCCGGAGCAAGAACATCCCTGCAAATAACAAGAGCCACAAAATGAAATAGTCACCACACACTTTTATGTCGGATTTCTGTCGGACACTTTTTTATTGAGGACCTGACAGAAAACCTGACATGTATCTGAATTCATGCATCCATCTGAAGAAGTCATCAGAAATAGCAATTTGGTAAAGAGGCCTATGTTCCCTTGATGCTAACTGACTTGTGAGTAATTCTGTTTTAAAATATAAGTACATCAAAATGAATTGTTCTCAGAAAATACCATGACATTATAGATTTACTAGCAGAATGCATTTGGCTTGTTAGTTTTATTATGGACAGACCACTCACGCTACATTTCCTGTGCACCTGTTATATGTTCATGTTTGTGTGAAGTCAGCATGTGTTTGTGATTTCCTCACCTGACATCTAACAATAAGGAATGGATTCATTATACATTATACCCTCTAAATCCGAACTGTCAGTGGTTAGTTTTCAGTGTGAGCTGTGGGATAGTGAGTTTAGTTTATACAAAACCGTTGGACCAGCTAACATTTTAAATGAAGAGAAGGATTCAATAACTGTCTATAAACGGATGTCAGTATGTAAAATATTATAATGTTAGTCGGGATTTATAAAGCAGATAAATTAGGAACAGAAAAGAACACTTCTGTGATATGAGGATTTGTAAACACAAGGAGCCAGAGATGTAGCACAGTTTAATGAAAACCTTGTTGTGTTTAGGGTAAAGCTGCTTCTGTGATTCTAACAAGAACAATGTAAATCTGTGATGGTTAAGTATTTTGGTATCATCAGAGTTTAATGGAAGTGTTTTGTCAAATTGTCAGACAAGCTTAATAAGAAACAAACCTTTGCTTTTGAATGTTCCAAATATCTTTTAAAGATTCTGAGATGTATTTTTTCATACAATGTTTTTAAATAATAAACTATGAATATTAAACTATATCTATATGTAACCCACTGCCTCATATACATCAATCAAACACATACATACATATATTTTTAACAATGTGGTATGTTATATAAATTATGTTATGTATGTATTAAAGTTATTTTTTGTATAAAAACATGCTGTGTAAGTACTGTGTTCATATATATTTATATATATGGTGTAAAATATAGTTTTAAATCTATAATAAACTATATATATATTAAAAATAGTATATACTGTTTTAACTATGTTGCATTCATTTCAGTGTAGAACATTAAGTGCAGTAATTGAGTGTGATCAGTCACTGAGAGTCATGTGTGGTTTAATGTGTTCAAGTGTTGGGTTTATTGATTATGAACTGAGTTGTGTATGTGAATATGTGTGTGAACTTTGAACCACTTCATGCTCCTGTCTCAGGCCGCGGGCGCCTCCTAGCGGCACCGACGGGTTGTGACAATCCGGGGCGCAGAGCAGACCCTTCCTTTCCAAACACCGTCAGTGTCCCTGAAGACACGTGCAGCTTATATAACCAGTGAGACATTAACGGACATTAACCAACGGACAGCAGCGACTCACAGAGGTCCGTACCGCCGCAGCCTGAAGCAGAGAATCCGAACAAGGCGCAACAATGTCGGGGTGCGAGTTCGAGTCTGTGGAGGAGTGTCTGCGGAGCCACCTGCCTCCAGCTGAGCTGTCCGAGGTCTCCAGGATCCTGTTCGGGAAGGAGACGAAGTGAGGACCCGTTTTATTTAATGTCACATTACTGTTGTTAAATGATTGCTCTGTAAAGGTCCGTTGTTTTAAAGTTGAATGGACTTTGGTCTGAGTGCTCAGAGCTGCAGCAACATGCACAACCACTGACCTGGTGAAACAAAGTGTTTTACTCTGTCAAAAGTAACCCTCATCTCCATTCATCTGCAGATTATTTCAGTTGTCTGCTTGTTTTGTCTGTAAAATAATAGTAGAGTGAAGTCAGACACACTCAAGGAAAGTGGTGCAACAGTTTCTTTTTAATCTTCATTTTGCCTGTGTTATGTTTGTGTTTAAATAACTAAATAATATTTATTTTTTTTTACCCTTATTTATTTTGACACTCTCAAAAAACGCCTTATTTAGAAAATGATTCTTCTCAGGTTCACTTAACTTTGCAGGCTAGAGGTCAGCAGGTTGCCAGAGTCCCTGAATCATTAACAGTTTGAACTGCACCTCTATTGATTTTCTTCCCTGGTTTTGGCAAACAAGAGCTGAACTCCTGAGGGAGAGATATTGAGTGGATTATAAACCAAATTCTTTACAAGCAGACACAATCAATCATCATTTTTCTGCAAATCCCATCTATTATTATTTGTGCCAATGGATATAGAGATGTAATGAATAAAACAAGTTGTAATAGCATTGTTTGGGTCAGTTTAACATTGATATCACATCGAAGCAGACATAAGGGTTCATTGTGGCTCAAATATCATCCTTGTTTAGTTGTTTTAAACCTATTGTTTTGCCAAAGTTAGAATAGAATTACAATTGTGTGCAGTATATGTCTGTCCCTCTTAGTTTGATGAGGCTGGTAACAATACTTTTCAAGATATCCCAGATACAGAGCTAAAAATGTAAAGGGCTGAAAAAATATGAAAACAGAAACATTTAAAAATGTACGATAATGCAGCTGCAACCTGAAATGATTTGACATGGAATGACCCATAGGCAACATATTCAAATTACTTATGTCCAACAACTGTCCAAAACTACATTTACTGACTAATATGACAAATAAGAGCTGACAACCTCTTAATGTTTGTCATTTTCTTCTTGATGTCTGAACTGACTGATGATCAAAATAGTTTATAGAAAATCTATTTTCTGTTGATTAATTATGTCAAAGGCGTTGCAGATTCTAGACCTAAACCCGTGGCCTGACGAAAGACTTGTAAGACTGTGCATTCTTGTTGATGGGAATTAACCTTGAATCTTCTGCCCATCACAGGAAGTTGGAGCTCCCGGTGTGTGCTGTGGACGCTGCCTCTGAACGTGACTTTGAGCTGAAGGGTCATGGGTTTGAAGCTGCTCCAGAACAGCTGAGGCCGCCCAGGACGATCCGGGTGGGACTCATACAGCACCGCATTGTTCTGCCCACCGACGCACCCATCCTGGACCAGGTCAGGACACATGAAACGTGTTCAGAGAGACGTGTTGTGGGATATTTGATAGAATGGATTTCTTGATGTTCCCTCCACAGATCAATGCCATGCACAGCCGGGTTGGTGAAATGGTCGAGGTGGCAGCCATGTGTGGTGTGAACATCATCTGCTTTCAGGAGACCTGGAGTGTGTACTTTCATGAGTCACAATCACAGCTGTAAAATTACATTTTCATTCAAATTGCAAATCAGATGATCCCGGTAAAACAAACTTGTGTCTGTCGACAGCCATGCCCTTTGCTTTCTGCACCCGTGAAAAAGACCCATGGACGGAGTTTGCGGAGTCGGCTGAAGAGGGATACACCACACGCTTCTGCCAAGAGGTGAGGTTACAGGTCCACAGGTCTGCTACAGTGTCACAGATGAGATTCACTGCAGGGGCATGTCTGAAAACACAATTATTCTGTTATTAGCTGGCCAAAAAATACAACATGGTGGTTATATCCCCAATCCTGGAGCGGGAGGAGCTGCACAACACTATTTGGAACACAGCAGTGGTGATATCTAACTCTGGAAATGTACTGGGAAAGAGCAGGAAGCACCATATTCCCAGGATTGGAGACTTTAATGAGGTGGGTGGACGTTCTCCTTCAAACTGTTGGATCCACAGTCAAACTGCAGTGTTCACTGTTTTTTGTTTTTACAGTCTACATATTACATGGAGGGCGACACTGGCCACACAGTGTTCCAGACGCAGTTCGGTAAGATAGCTGTGAATATCTGCTACGGGCGCCATCACCCTCTGAACTGGTTCATGTACAGTATGAATGGAGCAGAGATCATCTTCAACCCCTCAGCTACCGTTGGAGCCCTCAGGTAAAAGACTGAATCAAGAAAGTTCCCGGACAGATCTGATATTAACGTCTGTCCTGAGAGATCTGATCACAAATGGTCAGTGTTAAGTTTGTCTGTTGATAGATGTGTCTGTTGTCAATGTCTGTGTCTGTGTGTCTGCAGACAGAGAGAGAGAGAAAGAAGGAGAGCAGAGTCAGGAGGGACTGAGTGGAAGCTCATATTCATTCTATGATTATGTGGTGATCAGGATTAATCATGTGGCCACAAACAAATCCACATATATACACACTGAGGAGAGTCAAAATATATATATTTTGATTCTTTGTGAAACTGTAGCAGGTCCGAGACGTCAGCTGAGCAGGTGGTCCTTCACATGGTCCCAGAACGGACTTGTGTCGTACAGCAAAAAGAATAATCCCACATGTGTCTCAGACCACCTCTGAATATGATCTGAGTGATCAGACCTCGGGACACATTCAGGATGCATTTGGATGCATTGAGACGTTAATTTAGAGCTCACCACTAATGATCAGATCAGGACGAATGTTTACCAGCTCTGAACAGGGTCTACGTATAATTTTCATGCTACAGATTAATATAACAGACTCCTGTCTGTGCACCGTGTACAGTATTTTTATACCGGTGCATTCATGGCCCCATATTTACTGATTATTTGATTAAATATAAACTAATCTGGGAATAAATACAATTAAAGAACAATTCTAGGGACCTTGTTTAAACATTCCTAATGACAGCAGAAAGAACCTGGGCTTTGATTGGCATCCAGGGTCCCTGGATGGTTCAATTGTATTATTACCTGTGGCATGTCTTTTATACATTTGGTGATATATATTAATATGTTGTATATACTTTAATAATATTTCCTGTTTGTTTTCTACAGTGAGCCCATGTGGCCTATAGAGGCCCGGAATGCAGCAATAGCTAACCACTGTTTTACTTGTGCAATCAACCGTGTGGGGACAGTAGGTTCACTCTAATCTCTCTGTTATAATACACATAATGTTCATGATTCATACACAGCATTTATAATAATTTACAAGATGGATGTTTGCATTGTTTTGTTCTGGTGTTTTCTCCAGGAAACTTTCCAAAGTGAATTCACATCTGGTGATGGAAAAAAAGGTGCAAGATTTATTTCAATTCATAAAAATTCTTTCTTTTTATTTAAATTGTGATTATGGTTTAAAGATAACCTTAATGTTACTACACATAGGTCTGTAGCCATGTAGCTAACTGGCTCCTTTAAATGTATCTACGGGGCAAGTGAATAGAATAAAAGTTCAAATAAACTAGAAATAAAACTGATACATCAGAAATAATCAATAAATGTGCAATTTTGTAATGTTACAAGTTTATTTTTTACCTTTCCTGTTATATAAGTATCTATTTATCATGACCAGTGAATACAGTAGAATACATTTTCCTTTTTCATTACAGATTTTATCTTAAATTATAGATTATAGAGCTATTACAACTTATTTTTTCAGTTTAATATCTTAACTATATAGATTTCAAGTGAGCTGCTGTATACCTTTTTCATTTACTGATTGGTTTCTTTAATTCTTTCCTGGTCAGAGTTTTGGTCTCACATACATTGAGCAGCTATGTGCATTAATATGTGCACCAGTGAAAGACGTCTGTCCTGACTTTCTGCAGCTCACCATGACTTCGGACACTTCTATGGATCCAGTTACGTGGCTGCTCCTGACGGTAGCCGCACCCCGGGCCTCTCTCGGACCCGTGACGGGCTGCTAGTGGTGGAGATGGATCTCAACCTGAACAGACAAATCAGCGATAAATGGAGTTTTAAGGTAAAGTCAGCTAATCCTTGCATTTTCTTATTGAAAGTGTTGTAGGGAGGTTTTATGTATACAAGTTTTCAAGACATTTACACACACGTCACTGGACAATTCAGAGTGAAATACAGTACATTTTACTCCACTGCAGTATTCCACACCTATAATATATACACATATATATATTCTGTTTATGTGAACACTGGTGTGATAACCTGTACTGTCACTGTTTGTTTCCCCTGCAGATGACTGGGAGGTACGCTGAATACGCAGAGGAACTCACCAGGGCTGTTCGACATGATTTTAAACCCAACATAGTGAAGGAGTAGAGGACGTTACACACATTTACTGTTTATATCAGTATGAAACACACTAAGTTACATTTTGGGTTCATTGTTCTGTTTCAGACTGATTCATAGTCAGTGTTTCACCTCATAAAACTAGATTAAAATCAAACCATGGCCCTGTTCACTGTTCTGAGTCATCTTGATTTGATTCTTCAGCTTTGAATTCATGTAGGTTGTTGTTTGAGGAAACAGTTGAGCAAAGCCAAGTAAAATTGTAAAACAATTTACAAAAACAATGCAATGGCGTTTCACAGTTGAACTTTATGTTATGGGTTAATGCTGAATGCCACAGCTCATTCCAACAGTAACACAACAGTCACAGAGTCAGTGAACTGGCTTAGTGATGTCATTACACAGCTGCTATAAACCGCTGGTCATATTATAGTGAAGCGGTTTTATTACTTATGAATTCAAGTTTTCATCATTAACAGTAAAAACTTCAGACTTTTCAGTGTGAGCACCAGACAATCATTTTCTTTTCCTTAGGAGGCACGAGAAGAAAAATAATAATCAATTCAAATGAGAGTATTTTGGAATATGTGGACATGTACATCCGTACGCTAGTTAGCAGCATTTGACATGTTAGGGTGGATGAGGACAACACACATTTGTTTTTAGAACAAAATGTCTGATGACAATTCCTCACATTATAAATTAACTGTGAGAAACTGAAAAAGAAAGGACAAAAGATCTGTTATCAGACCAACGAGAACAAACCAGTTACAGGTAAGAATTTGATTTGGATTTGTCATCAAGTTACTTCCATACATGATATAGTTCTTATAATTTACTGTACAGATTTTAGATTTTCATTTCATAGTTAAGTAATTTAACAGTGTTTCAGTTCTTCAGCTAAGACAACTTCCAAACAACCAGGTTAACCAAACAAGTACCGACTCCAGCCTCTTAAAACATTCTTGCACCAGGAAAACTGACCAGAACAAAACTGTGTTCAAATCCTTTATTCATAACATATAATAAATGCAGCTCTATGTTTAATACAAAATAAAGTTTTAAATGTGCTGTTTGTTCTCACCAAGAAGCACAACTAGAAGAAAGAACTTTTCACAAGATTCAGAAAAGCAATTTCATGGTAAAATCTTTAAATAACATAATTACATCTGGTATGAAAAGTGTAGTGCAAACATGTACATATATACATAATAACAAAATTAAAAAATAAAACAACTCGGTGACATTGTGGAAATTATATAGTTTTCACTGCTGTCAGCAACTGGTGAGTTCCATTGTCTGTCCATGTTCCTCTGCACGCAGATTAAGATCCACAGACAGACTGTGGAATATTGCATTAAACTAGTTTTGTCATTTGATGCACAATGTCACACTTCAGGGCATTAATTACCTGAGACTCTCAAAACACGAAGGCGACAGCTCCTGTTTTCCCTGTTGACAGAATCATTTAAATAAATCGTGACCGAGAGGAGAGTGAGAATTCTTAAAAAGGCAGGTAGAGGTGAGAGGGCGGCGACAGAAGAACACCTTCAGACTTTAGCACTAAACACAAGTGAAAAACCTCATCAGCCCTGAATTATAAACACTGTTGAAGTGATTCCTATTCTAGGTTTGAGTCCCACATTTCATCCACTTGCAGATTTCAATAGATTCTATCTATTAGCCAACTGCAGCCATTAAAATTCAACAAACAATAAAATTCATTTTAACTATCGGTGTGAAAAAAACTTTGACTCTGGACCTTCCAGCTGTTAATATAAGTGTAGTGATTCTCCAACGTGTGTTTTTCTAGAGAGCAGTCAGACTTAGTAGCACCGGAGGGAATAGTCCAAGGGATCAGCTGACAGGCGTCCAGGTACTGAGACCTGCAGCTGCGTGATGTCAATACAATGAGCCGATGAAGAGTGAAATCCAAATCCACCATCATCATCGCTGTCCATCAACTCTCCTTAAAGACTAACAGAATATCTTCATCTGTCCCGTAGCTCCGCCGAGCCTCCTCGAAGTTACTGATGCTGGTGCAGCACACCCCTAGGATCACACAGACACACACAGAAACACACAGACACACACAGTTAGAGGATTATAGTCATGCTGGCTCTATAGGTGGAAATGTTGGTTTCTGTTTGGTCCAAAAAATTCGACTATTTGATAGATTTCCATTGAATGTCATACAAATTCAATGTTTTGAGTGAAATATCTCAACAGCTACATGTACAGACAAGCTCCCCCAAGGATGAGATGTTACTGTAGCAGCCAGGAGAAAATAACTAGACAGAATGGCCCTTTACACCTGAACAGGAAAAGAAGGAGGGGCAGGGGAGATGATAAATTGGACACAGCTGTGAGGGGCAAACCAAACAAAGGCAGCATGGAAGAGAACCGAGGAGTGAGAGTAACTGAAGGACGGAGAGGATTTTAAAGCTCAACCAGTTTCTGGACATACAGTATGTGCTGGAAGAAAAGTGACTTGAGTCAAAGTAAATAGTGGCAGCTGATCCAAGAACTGGAACTGGACCATTTTCTTGGACAAAGAGGCAAATGAGCTGATCCCTGGAGCCTGATGAAGTGGATTCAAACATCTGCCTGACCTGCTCAGATGGGGCCGTGTCTTCTCTGTCCCGGTTGAACTACAAAAGCTAAGTCTGTCTCCATACTGAAATTCTCTTGGCTTCTGGTTAATTCACCCCTCATCTTTCACTCTCCCTGGAGATTAAAGCATCCCCTCAAACACACACATTACCCTCATGTTCCACTCTCATTGGACATTAACTCTCCTGTCCAACACACACACACCCCTCCACTGACCGGGCTATAAAGAACTGAACACAATACAACATACAACTGTTTAATTAATGGACATTTACTTTTCAGATTTGGACTCTGAAAGCAATTTTGATTGATTAATTGATATTTTTGTGAATGCAAGTCTTTGATGTTTGTTCATGAATCATACTTCTTTGATTTGATCTTAGAATATTAACTTAATATGAATTGATTTGACTGAATTGATTTTCATTTGAAGCCTTTTTGTAGCTAGGACAATAAGCTATCTGGGTTAGGTCCCCGATTGTGACATATTTTAGTTAATTGACGAGTTAAGAAGCCCAACTCTATTTTGTTCTGACAATTTAGAAAATCTATGCTATGTTATAACTTGATGACTTTTTCACATGCTGCTGTACATCTAGAGCTAGATCAGAGGGTGAATGGGGTGAATTTAGGGGAATCTGGGAAATTTATTGCAATTTTGACTTCAACGATATTAATTCAGATATTCTGTTTTAGACAAAAGATCAATATATACCTTTCTGTCACTCTTCAGATGTTTTCTAACCATACCAGGAGAAACAATTGAGATTATCACACTCAGAGGAGACGTGGCACAGCTTTCTTTGTGCCAAATAAGACTTTTGTATCAGGCTTTTAAAAAAAAGGCATCCGCTGCGCCCGTGTCTGTGGCTCTGTCTGTGGTAAAATAAAAAAAATCTAATTTTCAAAATGATTTTGGCCCGTGGTTTAATCCCCTCCCCCCACACAGTTACAGAACACTGGTTGATTACATATTTAGTTTTCTGTGTCTGCAAATATTGATCATCTTTAACTAATATATCTTTATCAAGTCATCTTGAAGTTAAAAACTGATTAGTTAAAGAACCAACTGTTATGCAATGTACAAACAAGTAAAACAGACAAAAGCAGAATATCCTTCCATTTGGAAAAACAAGGAACTGCTAAAGTTTATCTTTTTGTCTTGAATTATTTAGACTATGAATTGACAATGAAACTTGTTAGTAATTTGTATTTGTCTGTCAACTATTAACAACAATTAGGGCAAGTGCTGAACTAACTGCTGACACCATGTATTGGCATTATGTATTCAAAAATGTGAATGGCAGTTTTTACTGCCAATTGTTTTTATTTAAACACAATATTCATCTTGTGCTTTAGACATATTGGATTACTCACTGTCAGAATACGCAGGGTTGTTGTAGTAAATACAGCCTGTGGTCCTGTTGAAGCCGCACACTACCACAAAGTGACCCTGGTACTCTGGCTTCCTGCAGAAACACTTCTGACCAGCGGGCAGGAAGCAACAATATTTGACAGGCGAGGAGCACAGCTCACATGTCAAGACGACAGCATTAACCAGCACTATGGCAACGTGGCCCTGCTCCAGATGGGACTGGATTTCCTGCACGGTTACTGAACTGTAGAATGAGATAACCACAGACACATTTGACATGTTAGGTTTACTCTGAGTACATTCTAAAAACAGGCCACTTGTCCAAGTGAATAATAATTAAGACAACTCACCATTTTCTCACCACCACATCTTTGCTCTCTGCTTTTAAGAAGAGCTCGTTCACTCGGTCTTCTTCTGTGTCAAAATGCTTTTTATAGAAGGACTGCAAACCACACCAAGAGAAAACAAAAAATGGTGTCAGGCACAAACTCGCAGCTGGTTAGGTCAGTACTGACAGCTAAGTCTCAGTTAAGTACCTGATTCCTAAAACCTTTATCAACGCCCAGAGTCTGTGTGCAAAAGCAGTGTTTGATTCCTAGATGGCACATGAGGTAAGCCAGGTCAATAGTCCACACACTCTCTGTTAGCTTCAGCTCCCAGCATGCTCTCTGAAACTCCTCATCGTCCACTGGGTGAAGGTACCTGCAGGATCAGATAATTTGAGACTGTAAATCCATCTGGCTTCACTATTGCAGTGGTTATCAAATGGCACACTGCGGGGGGGGGGGTCGGTGAAAAGTTTCCAGATTCATCCATTAAAATGATCATTATACAATGATTATGACTATTATCTTTCTAAATTTCTCATGTGATCTTCTTTCACATAACTTAGTGGAACTGTAAACAAGGCTGTGCCAAATTTTTCCAGGGGGCAGACATGAGGGTGTCAGTGGAATATGTTCTCTTGGCTGAGTCAAAGTCCTCTGGACTGTAAGGGCTCCCTTTTGTGTGACAGTTCAGAGCAACTAGGAAGTACACGTTCTCTATCATTTTCCTGGTGAAGTCTCTACATCGTCATTTAGTCCATAAAGCTGAGTGATTGACCTGTATGGGTTTGTATGTTAGTAGCTCCATGTGTACTCACTTTAGCACCATCCTGGAGCAGGCTAACCCACAGTCCCAGTGGTACAGCTGCCGAATGACAGGGACATTCAGCAGGATGGCATCCTCTGAGAAACAAACACTTATTATTACTCCTCACACATTAATGCAAGTGCTAAATGCTACATTTAAAAAAAACCACACCACTGTTAGCTCAATGTAATCTGGTATTTAAGGTGTTAACGTGGGTTCGTGTGACTCACCTGTCATTCTGTTGTTGTCTTTCTGAGAAGCTAGCTAACTGTACACAGGCTGCTCAGTCTTATTCAGAGGTTGGACACCGGCACCGTGTTTCTTCATCGATGCTAACTAACAAGAAACTAGCTGCCCGAATGCAAACTCAGCTTAAGTTAGCTGCCAGGCTAACTCTGTGGACGAGCCTGCTCCGCTGCTCACCCAGCGAGGCTCTGCCCTCGACACACGCTTACGTCAGACATGCAGTCGCTTTTCACCTCCACGATTGTGGAATAAAACTAAAGACAGCCCCGATGTTAGTCCGTTCTGTGGCTGCGCTTCTATCTTCAGCTGTCCCAGTTTCTCCCTCAGTTTGCTAACACACATCAAGCATCTGATGTGTGGGTGTCACATTAAGATGTGCTGCCCCCGTGCGGCGCGGAGGAGTCACCCCTGATTCTGTGACAGGTCATTTCATGACGTTTCTTATTCTCATTCTGCACATTTACAGATTCAGCCAGTTTTATTGGAGAACTTATATGATGTTGAAGACAGTTGTGTTTAAATCAGGTTTAAATCAGGTTTAGACTCTTTCTCTCTTTCTTCCCCACTGCCGTTAGACTCCTAAACAGCTGACAGGAGTCTATAACCTACCTCACAAACTGTAGCACTGGTCTGCACTTTAACTTAAAGTATTCCATTTGTGCTGTTTACATTTATATCGTATACATTTTATTTAATTTTCACTGTTAATGTTCAATTTGCACTGCTCAGTTTTGCACAATCCTCACCTTATTCACTTCATTCGCCTTGTTTCTACCTTACTTTTAAGCATGTTCATATCCTTTGTATATTTTATGTAAATATTGTATTTTAATGTAAATTCTGGTCAGCTGGTATTCCAGAAAGGACAGCACAAGAATTTCAATTCACAGGGAAACGTGTGTTCTCGTGTGTATTTGACAATAGAAATCTTTGAATCTTTGAGGTGACGCTACAGAACAACGTCCCCATGTTGATGTTACTGAGTTCCGTAGGCGGTGCCCATTGACATCTGTGTTACAAACATAGAGATAAACAGGAGTAATCATTAACTGAATGATAACTGCATCCAGCAGTGAATAATGTCTGTACGTATTCTTGTGAAACTGAAGAATTAGTTACTCACTGATTCAGTCTCAGCATCATCACTCAGATATGTGATTTTATGTCGACTGTAAAGATCTCTTTTCCTCGTGCATGTCAACAGGAACCAGTCACAAACCAAGGGAACCTGACGTCAAATAATTCAAACACATACATTTCTGTGTATCATCACTTTTTCCAGAGTGTGTGTGTTTTTCCACCATCCATGTTGCATTACCGAACATCTTTACTTACCAAACTGAGGAAGGACAAGGCTGCACCCATGTTCACTATAGTCGGAACAATTCCAAATTTTCCAGCCTGCAAGATAAAACAAACACCCCCAGGGTATTCTCAGTGCTAAACAACACAAGTTTTTAATATGGACATTGCAAGACAACATATATTCAGTCCTCACTGTTCCAAATACAATGACGTCAAACCGGATCCCATATGCTTTGATTAAGGTCCTGGTGTCCTCTTCATCTGGGGTTTTGTAATATTTGGCAAACCTAAAAAAAACAAAGTTTTAATTAATCAAGCAGCACCAACATTACACACAGAGATACACAGATTTCATGAATATAAGTCTTGTTAATATGTCTCTATTTTCATCAAGATCCATGAATTATTCTCTAGGAAAACTGTGAAAATGTAAAAGGACCCCCCCCCCCCCTTTTTAATAATCCTGCAACAAGCAAATGGACAGGGACAAAAGCACGGTGTCCTTGGCAGATGTAATAAGGCTTATTAAAAATTAGCATCACCTGAAGTTGTATCCAGGGGCCACATTTCCGACAGGGTGTCTGTCATCTAGTCTGCGGAAGCTATACTTGGGGTAACACTTCCCTGCCCAAGAGTCCAGGTCACAGCTCCAGTCAATAATAATACCAATGACACCACCCTTTAAAAATATACAACAACTCGCTGGGTTTACACATAGACAAACAGACGCAGTAATTATCCTTGAAGGTCAAGGGAAATAAGAGACGAGTACATGTGAATTATTAATTATGCAATAATGAAAACATTTTAAATGGTCATTATATAAAATTTTGGGTGAACCTTCACTGCCATTTCTTGAAAATCCTCTCCAGCCTCTGACACAATGTGTTTGAGGCGGAATATGGGGCAGTCAGGGTCTGTTGAATGACTGAACTCACACCTCTTCAGGTACGAGGAGTTGATGTGTGGCACAATGTTTCTCCTGGTGGAGGAAGGAAGACGTGCAGTAAATTTGATATAATGGCACATAGTAAAACATTATGTTATGATGTCATTCTCTCACCTCCAGCTACACTAGACTGACCTGTGAAATTTGAACTTGGGGTACGTTATGCTGTTTTTGATCAACACAGTGAAGTTCTCTGCTGCAGCCAGCAGGGCGGGCCTGTCAGACAGGGAATCAACAAGTCAGGGAAACCATATCTACGTTGTACTGGGCTTGATTATAAATATAAAATTATATTTTTTTTTACTCAGGCAGTTTAGTGCCTATTTCAAGAGGACACCATGAGAGCACTTCACACGTCTGGACAGTTGAGGAATAGTTGACACATAGTCCTGTTTGTATACCTGAGTGGAAAAGAAATGCCAGCTGCTGTTTGGTGTATGATGTAACACACATTAACCAGATTCATTTAAGCATTTAAAGCTGATGTGTCAGAGGCCTACCGCTCCCCCGAGGATCACTGAGTCCCTCGATACAGTCACAATCATCCACGCAGGTCGTTGATGGACCTGGAAACTGAAGAAGAAATGGCCGGAACATTAATCAGCATCCAAAATGAACATAACTCTGCTGGTATGAGGCTGGGACGTGTTCACATGTGTTACAATTCCCAGTGTCAAGAAACTTATTGGCACATATACACTGGTCCAATAGCTCAGTGGTTCTCAAACATTTGCACATCAAGGACCCTTAAACTTGCACAAATGGACCATGGACACAAGAGTTTTGCTTTTAGATGTTTAATCCCAGGAAGTGAATGGTATTCAGGACCAGATTGGCCATACACTCAGTTACTAATGGAGGAAATTATAGAAATTATATAGTGAAAATAACTTTTCCTGTTTTTATCAGGGACTCCCCTGAAACCACTTTGAGAGCTCCTGCAACAACTTACAAAAATCCTAGTGCTGAAGTGATCAGTGTTTTGTTTGTCAATTTGAAAAATCAACAGCATCGGAAGCAACCTCTCTTGAGCACGGAGCAAGAAGGCGATTGGTTCCTGGTTTGGTCACGGCCTTTCTGAGTGGAGTTTGCACGTTGTGTCTGTGCGGATTGTCTCTGTGTACCAGGGCTTCCTCCCACAGTCCAAAGACATGCAGTTTGGAGTTAGGTTGATAGGGAGACTTTGAATTGTCCATATATGTGAGAGTGACTAACTTTTTACAGTTGACATTCAGATTGTTTAGTTGGAATAGCAGTGGTGTATCTCTATTCTTTGAACACAGGCTTCATTATGTTAAAGTCCTTAGGATTCATCCTCGGGGGACAATGAATGTCTTTGCAAAATTTCACATCAATCCATTCAATGGTTCTTGACAGGTTGTTGAAATTAAGACTGGACTAATAATGCCAACCCCAGAGCTCTGCTGCTAGCGTGGCTAATCAAATATCTTCTGGTTATAGCTTTCCATATGTGAGGGTTACATCCTCCTTGTTAGCATGTCCTTCTCGTTAGCATGTCTTTGGGTTTCGTTCTGCTCGTTGGAGAAAACAGGAAATGTAAAGATGTGACCAGGAGCTTTAGTGATGAACAAAGTGATTCCAGTTTCAAAGAAGAACCAGCACTGAAAATAATCATTAGCTGCAGTCCTTACAGATACCGCCAATTTTAACTCCAATACCATACTGTGAATCAACATCCTCCTTAAGTTGTCTGAGCATTATGGGATGTATCAGGTGACATTCGTGCCTCACCTCAGGACAACGTGTTTGCGTTTGTTTTGAGGTCACGACCATATTCGTCAACACAAAGAAGGAACTGTCCCCCTGTTAAACAGAAGAGCAGCACGTACAGCAGTGAAAACACACTGTGTGGACCGGTTTGTTTCTGTCAGATATACTGTAGCACTGATGATAAGCTTGAGGACAGAATGCGTGTGTTTAAATACCTGAGGGGGGATTACATAGTCGGCCACATCCCAGAAAAGAGGCTCCATGTCAGACGTGTTGGTGGAGGCAAAACCTTTCACTTTGGTGGTGACACTACTGATGACAGAGTCCGTCTCCTGGTAGGCTTTCTGCATTACACACACATACCTGCAGGTTCACAGCACAGTACACACATTTTAACAATTTATCACTGACCCAAATCCAACCCAGAGTAATGCCCCCCCATTGATTTTTGTCTTTACTTACCCCAACACATACAGCACCACCAGGAGCTGGGTGAACCTGAACACACATCCCAACGCGATGTCTGGAATAACCAGAGTTTTTGGTGTTTCATAATCAAACCAGTAATGCAGACAGTCCTGGCACCAGTTTGCAGTCCTGCCCATTGCTTCACTGAATGGACTGTGCAGTTATGATGAGTGTGAGAGGTGTCTTTATTCAAATCATTGTATTCAAATCATATTCACTGTCTTTAGATTAGATTTTAAACATGCTGGACTTTGGACATGAGCTCTGACTGTCGTAGGATCCGTTTGTACAGAGCTGATCAGCATATGAATGAGATAGTGAATCGTGTGGCCATTTTTCATATTAGGAAATTCATACTTCAACAGTTATTTGTACAAGTGAAGAGAATACTAATTTATTACAGTAGTACAACATTTCTATCTTCCACATTTTCATTGTCCTTTTATCAGTTTGGATTTGTGTGTAACATGTTTGATCATGAAGCCTCCACCTATAGGATCTCCAAAGTCTTTATGGTCTCTCTCGTCTCTTTGTGGAGTATTGTGTCTATTTGAGGTGGCTTTACGATTTCATTTTATTTTTCCTTTTTGTGGTTGTTTTGTTTCTTTTTGTCATTTAGTGTCACTTTGCAGTTGTTTGGCATCTCTGGTGTTTTTCTTTTTCAATCTCTTTTTAATAATTGTTCCTCTTCTTTCTTCCACCAAGGACGTTATGTCAATTTGTTTGTTAGTGTGTGTTTTTGTAAATATGACACAAAAACAACAGAATGGATTCCCATCAAACTTTGTGGAAGGATGTAGTATTGGTCAGGGAAAGACCATTACATGACATTTTGGTGCAATTCGGATCAGGGGCAGATCCCGGAATTCTTCTCCACTTTCTTTAACATTGCGACATACAGCAAACACAATGAAACATTGGTTTCAACAACTCGCCACACATTTACATGTCACTGTCAGATACTCACACTGCAAACTTGGACTCAACACTTGTAAAACCAAGGCTGCACATGAGAGAAGGCATTAGCTGCAACATTTGTGCTTATTCTGCATTGTAAATAAATGTTGCAAAAGTAAAACCGTGAGAACTGTCTTAGCTTTACAATTCAGTTTTTAAGATTACTTTTCTGCACAATTTAATATCAGTGTTAGTGTGGCTCTATTTCTTGAAAATGCCCACTTGAGCAATGGACTCCGAGCATACACAGCAGCTGACGCATGTTTCAACAAAATATAGTCCATGATCTTTGTTTTTAAAAGGTTTACTGAAAGATTTCATTTGAAATACAAAATGAAAAATATACAAAGTACTTAAAACACAGTGAGCATATCAAGAACTGTGGTTAGGAATATAACCACAGTCAAAGACTAGTGTGGACTCAAACCTCCATACTTCTCAATAAATGACATTGTCATTTAGCTGATGCTTTTATCCCAAAAAACTTCCAATTGGTATATTCAACATCTATGAGGTGCCATTCAGGGTTCAGCATCTTGCCCAAGGACACTTTGGCATGGGCTGGGATCCGAGCCACCATCCCTCTGGTTGGAGGACGACCATTCATTCAATACTGCATTAATATTTTGCATGTAATATACTTTTAGAATATTAAATCTGATTATATATTGGATGGAATTATGTGACAGCATAAAGAAAATGAAACCAACATTGGTTCAGATTCTGGTTTTAATGCCATAACACACTGACGTTTATGAACACAAGACAGATACAATGTCACTTTGGTCCAATAGTACCTCAGATATTAAGTCTTTATAAAAGAAATTTCAGTTCACATAGACACTTTGGCATCTCATTTGTCACTGGTGTAGCTTGCCTTCAATAAAATATATCTAAACCCATCCTCTTTCAAGTTTCTATACGTATGAAGTCTGTGTTGTCATATCGATACAGAAAGCCTACAGAAGAATGAATACACAAATATACAAATGGATAATTGTCTGCAAGGTTATTCTTTCATTGGACACATTGGACACAAAGACATGTTAATTCATCAATAAAACTAATGATGCACAGTCATTATGTTTTGTGTTTCAGTGCTGAATATTCAAGTATGATATGAAGGCATCTACAATATATTCTACAAAAAAACTGTCCACAGTAAATGAAGCTACAGTTAAATGTAGACTAGGAAAACGTCTATCTTTCATGTCAATGTTCTCCAAGTGAAGTCTTTAAAAGTAGGCTGAAACTTGTTATCACGTTCACTCATAATGCAGTCCTTAGCTTAATGATCCAGCTTCGACTAAACTGTGTCAGTTTCTGGATCTCTTAGATTTACGATGACTCATTTGAGTAATGTCCCATCTGAAGGAAAGTCTGCATCCAACTGATGGCATCCAACGAATCTTCAAAACAACCCGGTCCACAGATTTCATATTTGGCCAAATTCAAAGTCAATCCCCCCGTCATGCAGGCTACCTTCGTTTGCATTATCGAAGCTATTCTTCCCATGGATCTGTTTGAGGTGCTTGCGAAGAACAGGCTTGTGAGCAAACACCATGTCGCAGTAGTTGCAGCGGTGGGGCTTGTCCCCGCTGTGCAGGTTAAGGTGATCCAACAAAGAACACTTTTGGGTGAAGGTCTTGCCGCAGATTTTACACTGGAAGGGCTTGATGCCGGCATGGACGCGCATGTGTCGATGCAGGTTGCCTTTTTGTGTGAAAGTCTTTCCGCACAGGAGGCACATGAAGAGCTTGTGCATCTTGAGGTGGTTGGCGTAGTTCTCCAGCTGGCGGAAGACTCGGGAGCATTTTGGGCACTGGTGGTACCACTGCAGAGGCTTGTCGTAATTCCTCTGGTGTGTGCCGTGTTTCTCTGCAGTAGGGGACTGAGGAGGGGGGGTGAGCGGGTATTCAGCGATTCCAGGTGGAACCGCCATCTCACTGCTGCGGCTGTCGACCGTGGAGTTGATGAGCGAATGCTGGGGCTCAGGTGACTTGAGGGCAGCAGGTGGGCTAGTGGGGAAGTGACCAGTGATGGAGTTCTCTGCAACGTCAGACACAGACTCTACCTTCACTATAGTGATGTCATTCTCCATCATAGCCTGCCTTGGGTGTCTGCTTAATACCTGGAGAGGAGACTTGGGCTCTATAATCACATCATCATTATCATCTTCATCATCATCATCACCATCATCATCATCATCATCACCATCATCATCATCATCATCATCACCATCATCATCATCACCATCATCATCATCATCATCATCGTCCTTGTCATCACCATTGTTGTCATTCTCAACCTGCTCTACTACCTCCTTCTGCTGACGCACAGTCCGCACCTGAGAGCGCCCCTGCTCTCTCTGAGCCTGAGAAGATAAACTTTCACCTTTCTCGCTCCTCATCTTCATATCCATCTCCAGGTGGCGCGCAGCCTGAGGTTTGATGAACTTGCTAAGGGCCTGAGTGCACTGCTCCACAATGTGACCCATTTGAAGGAAACTGGCCACCGTCAGGTAATGCACCAGCTCCAGCTCTGGAAACTCCAGCTGGCCTGTGTAGCAGGATAGCAACAGCTGCTGTCCCACCTCCGCCTCCTGGATCATGGAGATCTGAACCTCCCTGGAGTCCTGCTGAAGGATGAACTGGTCTCTCAAGAAAGAAGAGCCAGCGGCAAACACCACCTTATGACCAGGGACCTCTAGATGGTTGATGCGCACGGTGACGTCACAGAAGCGTCTCTGGTGTCGTAGAAGGTTCATCTTCTGCAGCATGGAGTCACCAAATGTGGCGAATCGGAACTGCAGGATCACCTGGTTCGGGGCCATCGTGAACTGGAAACCTGGAGCAGCAGCACACCTGTTAAGAACAAACAGAGACTGTGTGACGGTAGTCGCCAACCCATCAATCATGATCGACTGGTCGATCTCTGTAATGCTGTGGACACACTGGCTGCGGTTGTGCCAGCTGTGTGGTGGTTGTCTGTTGTTCACACTGGCAGCTTGTAAGCTACTGGCAGCAGGGCTGCTGGTAAATGTAATGCATTTCCTTCAATACAAGTCAGATCAGGTATTAAACTAAATGCCAGGACACTATGGTATGATGTGCATTTACATTACATATCATCAAGTGGCATTTATGGCTGTATTCAAGGCAAAGCCTGTGCAAAAACATTGTGCTGCAGTAGCAGCTTCTCTACAAAACATTTGTTGAACTGAATGAATGTATGAACTCTCCTTATATTATATGCTGCTTATAGACATGCACCAAAGTCCAGATATTATCAGAAGGGGCTGTATATGAGGACACAAATGTCCAAGTGAGAGGCTCCGAACTTTCTTTAGAGTTTCTCCTGCCAGCTCTTTAGTAAAAACTCTGGATAGTGCCCAAGTGAGGCCAAGTGTAAAAACAGATGGAGATCCTCTGGAGGTTTTGAATAAGGCCTTGCTGTGTTGATGACATTTCTAAAATGCGATAGACGCAAAAATAATGACATAAGAAAAAGAACACAAATATCTCAGGGTGAAATAGAGGGGCCATACAAATAGAAGACATTAACGAAGGGCCGCCCTGGTGTTGATTTGCTGTAAACAAAAACATGAGCTCTCCACAGCAGAATGAATGTAACATGCTGCCTCTGCCTGCTGTGCCACCTCTCACCCCAACGCCCCAGAGGTGTTCCTGTTGTAGTGAATGTGCCAGATAATCTCCTGCTGCTTTGTTCATACGTGAAAGACAAAAGAGTTCATGTCTGAAAGAGGCTTGACATAGTTGAGGTCTCTCTTCACATGAATCTGTGTTTCACAGGTGTTAACGCTCATCATATTCCACACGAACGAAGATAAAGAGCTAAGGTACATAACCATCACACAACCTGAACTAACCTTCATCTAAACTACTCATGTATCACGAGTTCGTAAAGGACTCTTTTGAAACACCTGCCAATTCAAAACAGTCTCTGTTGATGTTTCAGTCAAACTATTGTATGAAACTCAGTCCTCTCTCTAGTGCATCTTTCATATCATCTAATAAATGTTGACAAATCGTTTGCTTTGAATCCAAACACGCTACTAACGCAGAACTAACGCTTTATATCTGTTAGCTAGCAGTGACATGATCGAGTAGCACACGAGCTAAAAAGCTCAGGTAATGTTGGACAATGCTCACAACTGATTTACGGCCGACGGCTACAAAGCTGCTCAACCTAAAGTGTCCCCTCAGTTTGCAGATAAACATGACCTTATGATAGAACTGTCTCCTTATACTCACAGACACACACTCAGTTTTCGCTGCCTGAGCTAACTGTGTCAACATTAGCTTTAGCAGCAGCGCTAACGTAAACAAGCACCGTGTTTCTTCAGAGGAAAGTGTGTGGCCCGCGTCTCACCGAGCAACACCCAACACAAGCTTCATCAAAGCGACTGTCTGTGTGAAACATCAGCTGTAGTTACATGGCGACCCTTCAGCACAAACACACCGCCTCCACACTGTGGCCTGCTCCTCCTCTTTAGCTTCAGCGGACGCCTCAGTCGGGCAGGTAACATTTAACGCGGAAGCTAACTAACTTAGCTACCGTGTGTATTTACTTCGGCCGGCGCAGTAATACGTGTAGTGTACCTGTCCACCAGTGTAAACAAGCGTGTGGGAGCAGGTTTGCTGTCGCAGACGCTGACCTGTGTCTGTCTGAGGAGGAGAAGCAGCTGCTCCGGATGTGAAACACATTTAAAGGCCCAGTCCAGATGCAGCACTGATCACACTGAGCCGGACCAGTGCACTGTTTCCAGCCATGTCTCCTCTCATCTTTAGTGATGTCAGTGTGAACATGTGGTTTCACGGGTTGAGTTATCAATGTGATTTGTGTGGGCTCTGATCATACACTACATATAAAATATATCATGTGTACATCATATTATCTTTCGTTATATACAGTATGTGGCTCTGATAACAAATGTAATGTAGTCAGATATGTTGATGTGCTCTATACATGCAAGGACTCTGTGCCAGGGTTATTATAGTTAACGAAAACTAAGACTAAAACTAAAACTAGCAATGAATAATTTAGTTAACTGAAATAAAAATAAAAACTACAATTTAAGAAACTAAAACTAAATAAAAACTACCATGAACAATGCAAAACTAACTAAAACTAAACTGAATTGCAGATAAATTCAGCTTCGTTTTCGTTTTCTCCCTCGATTACTGCCTGTCCTGCAGGTGATGGTTAAAGAATGAAATTAAAGGACTTGATAAACCATATTTGGTGTCACACATTGTTTCATCCTTTTTCAGCTTCTTCAAGTCAAGGCTTTCTCTTAATACCTGGAAAAACTAAGACTAAAACTAAATAAAAACTAAACTGTAACAAGTCGATTCCTCAAAATAAAAACTAAACTAAAACTACAAAATCACTTGTTGAACTAACTAAAAATAAACTGAAATAAAAAAGCAAACTGGAAAACTAAATAAAAAATAATGATAATTTCAAAACTATAATAACCTTGCTCTGTACAAAAGCTTTTTTGTTGGTAGTGTTCCTCACTCTCGTTGAAGGTCTAGGACGGAGGATGTTGCACCTTGTAAAGATTGTCAAGCCCTGTGAGGCAAACATGGGCTATCAAATTAAAGTTGGATTGATTGATTTGATAATGGCAAATATGACAGACTGGCAAAATTGCTGCTGTAGCTGTACATTTCATCATCCAGTTATTAAATAAAAAGGCACAGGCAAAGTTTATTTACTTTTATAAAATGTAAAAAATTACAAGCAGAAAATCCAGGCATTGATTTCACAGATCATCAGCAGAGAGGGGTGTCATGTCTTCTTGAACAGCCTAAAAGACAGAAACAAAAAGGTAATTTAACCACATTTAGGTCATGTGTGGTATTTTGACATTAACTGTTACTGTAAATCTACTGTGTCTGTATTCAGGAGTTTCAGGGGATTTGCCAAATTTCATAAATCATAGCCTTCTTCCAAATAGTGACTTACTAAAATGATCACCAGTAACCTAATCTGCTATAACACGTTCATTAACTACATACTTTTGCTGTAGTCTATACACTGCACTTGATTATCTACTGTGGACACTCATAAACACTTTTTTAAAATAACATTTAATGTAAACTGCAATTACCAAATTATGGGTGTATGCTTCCACAAACCAGTGAAGTTACAGTCTGTTCAATCCCCTATAATGCTGTATATGTAGTGAAGACTTTGACAGGACTTCATAAAGGAATGTAAACATGTACTTTGTCAAAATTAGCATTGGAATGCTTAATTTATGACAGACTACGTGTAGACTATGAGTTTAATATTGGTATTTTGTAGTAAGAGGGAATAAATTAACTTTGTTTGAAATGCAAACTGAGACTATCTAGTTTATAACACCCATACCAGATGCAACTGTATCCACCCAAAATGGCAAAGGCCACCAGTCCTACTGAAGCAGCTGCAGCGAGTGAAGAAACCATCAGGACATAGGATGTACCTGTAACAAGGAAATGCTTCATGTAACAAGATTGTGATCAAGCCATTTATCTGTAAGGTAAATTGTAGTTTCGCAAAGTACATGTCAGTCTAGAAGTCCTAACTGTCATGATCATACTGCAGCATTTGGGTAAACTGGCCCTTTAAATTACCTCGTACTTTAGCCCACAGGACACAGGAACTTTTTAAAGCCTGGGAGAGAAAACATTCAGGGAATTTAACAAGGAAAGTCTGCTGCATTTTGCCAGTAAATAAATTCTGCTGTTCAGCTGTTTCACCCACTGTTTTCCACTGGCTGACGACTCGTAAGATGATGTAATAGGTCCTGCCCTTCTCCAGCGGTGCATTATAGAAGCCTCCATAGTAGAGTCCATCCCCAACAGTAAAATTAATCTGTGTCCCGACCTGTCTGATGAGGATCCGGGCAGTAATGTACTCGGAAGAGAATTTGTTGAGGTCGGGGCTTCCAGGAGAGGAGCAGTCAAACACCATTATGTCCTCGACAGGAACAACAAACACTTGGTACAAACTGCCAAATGAAGAAGAAAAAAACTTAAATATATAAGGGTCAGGAGGAAGATTAGAAAGTTTTATTTGTAAATATATTTTATTACATTATAGCCTCATTTACATAAAGTAATGAAGCCAGTATATCACAACAGAAAAAAATAGATATGTTATGATAATGTCATTTAATTTCTTGATATGAATTTACAAATAATTGTATTATATATTGTATATGCCCATGAATAAAGTTATGTCAATAAATGAACATTACATGAAATATTTGTCCACCCAAAAATTGTCCACCCAGACAGATACTGTCCCCTGCCCCTTTCCCCCTTGGTTGTTACCTTATTGGGTCCAGTGTGTTGGCTGATCTCTGCAGCCTCAAAGTTGGTACAGGAGTCTCAAATTCTCTGTAGTAAACAATCGGCACTGGAGGCACTGGCAAATGTAATTACATATAATGTGCATTGCTTAGCATAAGGAGGAAACAAGATGAATCACTGTGCATCAGTCATACTTAAGATCATTGCTAAGATCTACAGATTCTGTATCAATCTAGTATGAACAGTAGAAATGGGAGTCGGTGGGGCTGTGATACCTGTCAGACTGGTGTTTATGGTGATGGAGGCTGTGAATCTGGCAGACAGTGCAATGATGGAGATGCTGTAGTTTGTGGCTGGAAGCAGGTGGAGACAGAGTGTCAGCTGCTCGGCCTTGGAGCTCACAAACTGCTTACTTTTATCACGAAATGACCTCTGGTAGTCTCTGGTACCTGTGTATGTCACCTGCAATGGTTGCATCAGCATCACACAAATCCTCCATGGATTTAAAAGTGGCATTGAATATGGTTAAGAAATGAGTAGAAAATGCCTAACAGGTAGAAATGATGGTCAAATACAGTAACTAGAATGAGTGAAGAAAGGTGATGAAATCGCCTGTTACCTTGTAGGCTTCTGAGTCCTCCTCATACTTCTCTGCTTTCCAATGCACACATCTTTCATTAAGGAAATGTACATGATTGATTGCTGGTTTTATTTCTGTAAAAGATACAAGAATGAAAAGAGAGTGACGTTCGACTAAATATTGTCCTATGTCATTACAAAATATCAAATCCCCCAAATCACATGATAGTTTCAATGACAGTTTTACTTTAGTTTCAGTTCTGGTCATGGCAGCTGACCGCTGTGTGGTAATGGTGTTATGTTGACCTGCTTTGTTCTTTACTCACCTATACATCTGAGAGTAGCTGTCTGCCACTCCCCGGAGCTGCCACACACAGAGATGTTGCTGCCCCTCCAGCTGTGATATCCATCCACACAGCGGTGGATCACTACACTTCTGTTATGCCACACCACCTCTGAGTTGGCAAGGAGGGGAACTGGGCCACATTTAGCTAAAAGAAAAAAGCACTAAATGACTTATTGACTCTCCAAGCAAAGAGTGAATAAGAAACATAAGCTGTAATTGAGAAACTTTTAAGCAGTTGAATAGATGCATATTTATGTAAAGAGATAATCACTGTACCTTGGCACTTTAAAGATATTTCCCCCCCACTCTCCTGATAATGAACATACTGAAATATTATTTCCACTCTCCGGGTAAAATCCATCCATGCACTCATACAACACCACACTGCCTGGTCTGCTGGTGCGGTCCCACAGGAGGTTAGTATGGGGGTGGATCAGTGGTGGGCCGCATAATAGCATATGTGATTCACACATTCAAATCCTAATAGCTGCTGTACATGTGAACATGCTACATATGTGTATAATGCAAAAAGGAGATAATTTATACAGCCTGAAGAATTCAAATTATACACCCTTATAGCATACAGTGATTTAATATAAATACCAGCAGTTTTTCATTATATCTGTCAACAAACATTGCCCCCAAAATCACACGACTGAGCAGTTTTAGTTTAGTTTCAGTTCTGGTCATGGCAGCTGACCGGTGTGTGGTGATGGTGTTATGTTGACCTGCTTTGTTCTTTACTCACCTATACATCTGAGAGTAGCTGTCTGCCACTCCCCAGAGCTGCCACACACAGAGATGTTGCTGCCTCTCCAGCTGTGATATCCATCCACACAGTGGTGGATCACTACACTTCTGTTATGCCACACCACCTCTGAGTTGGCAAGGAAGGGAACTGGGCCACATTTAGCTAAAAGAAAAAAGTGGCACTAAATGACTTATTGACTCTGCAAGCAAAGAGTGAATAATGAAACGTAAGCTGTAATTGAGAAACTTTTAAAGTGTATTTCTGCATGTCTGTCCTTGTATGGGTTCCAAGTGACATCTACTGGAAGAACGGTAACAGCCATTTTTGAGGGAACAAAATCACATTCGTATATATCCACAGAATTTACTTTGAAACTCAACATAACCCGAAGCATGTAAATATCAAACAGGGATTCACAAAACAAATGTGCAACACTCAGACAATAGAAACAGAAACTGCCACAGTTGAATAGATGCATATTTATGTAAAGAGATAATCACTGTACCTTGGCACTTCAAAGATATTTCCCCCCACTCTCCTGATAATGAACATACTGAAATATTATTTCCACTCTCCGGGTAAAATCCATCCATGCACTCATACAACACCACGCTGCCTGGTCTGCTGGTGCGGTTCCACAGGGGGTTAGTATGGGGGTGGATTAGTGGTGGGCCGCAATTTATTTCTGCACACAGACATGAATCAGCACAGCCTGTGGGCCTATTATAGCATATGTGATTCACACATTCAAATCCTAATAGCTGCTGTACATGTGTACATGCTACATATGTGTATAATGCAAAAAGGAGATAATTTATACAGCCTGAAGAATTCAAATTATACACCCTTATAGCATACAGTGATTTAATATAAATACCAGCAGTTTTTCATTATATCTGTCAACAAACATTGCACCTTCACACCACAGATCTACATCCTCCCACAGTCCATTCTCTCCACATACTGAGACGTTTTTCAGGCTCCTGCTGTGATATCCTTCATCACACTGGTAATACACCACACTGCCAATGTGCGATGTGCCATTCCATAATCTTTTAGAGTGAGGTTTATGAACAGGCTCTTGACAATCGATTTCTACAACAAAAACACAACAGGTCATTGTAGTTCACTGGGAGTATGGTGGATTCAAATATTGTCAGAACCTATGTCAAGGCAATGTGAGACAAGTTTAAACACAATCCAGATATCTTTGAGTAAAGTTTAAAATGAATTTAAACATTTATGTGTCTGATTCATGATTTGTGTAGATAAATGTCATCATCACCTTGACACAGCAGAGAGGCCTCATCCCATTCTCCTCTGGCAGTACAAACTGATATATTTCCCTCTCCAACACTGCGATATCCAGATTTACACTGATACACAATTTGAGAGCCCACAGTGGGAATTTCATCCCACAGTATGATTGAGTGAGGGATGGAGGGGGGCGGGCCACATAGAACCTCTACAGGGATAGAAATGATGTCATTTAACTGGGAGGAAATGGTTATTTTTCCATCCTGGACAACAGAAGGAGACTGACAGAGCACTGACAATATCACGAAGTTGTTAGTTACCTTTGCATGAGATGTTTGGTTTTGTCCAGGAACCGTTAATTGTGCACAATGACACATTATTTCCTTCACTTTGATAAAATCCTATTTTACAGTAGTAAGTCACAGTGCTTCCAGGGGTAGAACTGCCATTCCGCACTTGCCCAGTGTGGGACAGTATCGGAGGATCCCCACATAATATCTCTGGGACAAGAAGTACACACATACACAAACATTAAAAAATAGATAAAATAAAATTCAAAACCCAAAATGAAAAGTTTTATTCCAATAAATTCTAAACAATTTTACAGTTTGGTTCTTGTCAGGACCGTGCCTGCACTAATTAGATATAATAAGTGAAAACACCACTGTGGGTATGCAGGCCACTTTTGTTCAAGTCATGTTGTTTTCCTAAATGTATTTAAATATAAAGAATATATAAGAAGAAAGATACAGTTATGAGGGGTTCTATAATCAATCGTCAAAATCAGAAAACCTCTGGAATGATCTGATAAAGCAATTACTCTACCTTGGCAGAGCACAGGCGGCTTTTCCCACTGTCCAACAGCGGTACAAGTGGAGACATTTCCCTTTCCAACATTATGATAGCCAGAGTTACACTGATAAACCACTTCAGAGCCAATCCTGGAGCTCTTATTCCACAGCATATGAGAGTGAGGAAGAGCAGCTGGGGGGGAGCCACAGTCGACCTCTAAGAACAGAAGTAGTGACACGCTCCATAAACTTTGTTAAATGAAATCATGAGGAAGGAAGAGTCTACAGCCATGCTAACAGCTCTGTGAGGCTGTACTTGGAAGAACTTAGTGTTGTGTTTGAATGATTAATGTAGAAGAGGAAGCTTTGTAGAGAGGTAGATTTTTCCTCCAGTATTTTGTTACCTTCACAGACCATAGTCGGTCCACTCCACAGTCCATTATCTCGACACACAGAGGTGTTGTGTCCACTCCCCCAGATGAAGCCTTCATCACAGACCCACGTGGCTACACTACCATATGTGGTCCCTGTGACCGACAGCAGCACTGCGTCCTCCACTGAGGCAGGCTGGCCACAGTCAACCACTGAGTGGGACAAAAACATAAAATAACATTTTAGAGTTCAGATATTAATTAATTTATAGACAATGTGGCAGTTAGAAAAAAAAAACCACGAAACTTGAGAACCTCTTGAAATGGGATTATAGCAACAGTGACACCAGTTAATATGTTGGTATACCAATGAACCCATGAGAACCATTATTGCTACTTTATTTCAGAGTATTCAGAACCCATCGGTTAAGCACCTCCCATCTTTGAACTTAGTCCTTGATCTTGATCTCAACTGCACAGTAAAGTTTTGCATATCTTACACTGTTGTGACAGACGGATGTCAAATTTCTCAAAACTCTTCTTGTGGTAGTTCATTTTACCTTTGCAGAAAGCCTTGTCTCTGTGAGGATGAAAAGGTTCTGTTCCATTGTCGACTTGGTATCCCACATGACAGCTGCATTCAAAACTGCCCTCCAGGTTCCTGCACCAACCTCCCTCTCCACACAGCCCTGTGATCCTGCATTCATCAATGTCTGCAGAGCCAATGAGAATGAAATAGTATGTGCGTAAAGTTTATTGATATATTTTTTTAGGAGACTCTTCTAAAGCTAAGGCAATATCACCGGAGAGCACAATACCTGGAGTCCCAAAGCATGTTTGAGGGACACAAGTAGAGCACCCAAGAGCTCAGCTCATGCGGGAGTGCAGAATATGCAGCAGAGCCTCGCATGAAGGGCTTTATAAGTGAGCACCAACATTTTGAAATTAATTTTTAAAGTCAAGTGTATTAAAGGTCCAGTGTGTAAGATTTACGTGAAAGGGATCTATTGGCAGAAATTGAATGTAGAATAATCCTCATGGTAGTTTTCTTTACCCCAGAAAAGGCCCTTTATATTTAAATACTTTATATTTACATTGAGGGGACCCTCTCTACAGAGGCCACCATGTTTTTTACATTAGTCCAGACTGAACAAACTAAACACCTTTTGAGTTTTTATGACAATTAAAGCTACCACAGGTTCTTTTTCATGTTTGGAAGGAGAGGATGAGGTGAGGGGTGTTCAGCTGCAACATGACACTTCAACACTAGATATCACAAAATTCTACACACTGTACCTTAAATGACCATTTGTTGTATTGTGTAAAGAGTCTAGTTGCATAATTTTTAAATGTAGACGTAAGGATGATTTGTTACGAAGTTTAAAAGCAAATGGCAGATTGTAAATTTGGCTGGCATATACATTTTTATTCAGCATTTTTAATCTCTATAGTGTGAGACTGAATGTGTTTGTGTTAGCAGCTATCTTCTGGAGGTCACACTTTACAGTTTTGGGCCTTTACATAAAAAAACAGGTCAAACCTATACTCACCCTTGCAGTGGGTTCCATCATTTGGGATGAAGATGGCCAAGTTGTTTGAAGGGTTGTAGCCAGAAAGGCAGGTACAGTAGAAGCTGCCATATGTGTTGTGGCATTTTGTGTGCTGCCCGCAGATCTGGGCTCCTGTCTGACACTCATCTTTATCTGGGAGAAAAAAACATTAATAACACTTATGAGATGAATTACAATGTTATTTTGTACTTACATTCATGGTTACCAGATGATGTATGCTAATGACTTTGGCATTCCCCCTGACTATACCTCTAGCAGCACCAACACGTCCCCCCTCTGATGAAATGTCATAACATTTGTGATACCATCACTTCTCATTTAGCACTATCATCTTCATTGATACATTACTAAACTAATGACACTCTCATCATCATATGATAACTTTATGTTGTGGTAATATAATAATCCTTTTTATTTTTTGTATTAGACAAAATCAGAGCTTGCAAAGAGGAGACTTTTTGTCCTACCTTGACAGAATGTTCTTCCATTTCCTACAAATCCATACTTGCAGTTACAAACTTTGCCAGAGCCAACTGGCAACTTATTTTCACATGTGGCGTTAGCATGGCAGGTGGCGCACACATCCAGAATTTGGCCTGCTGCTGGCATACCTGAAAGGATAGAAAGAGCATCCATCGGTATCCTTTAGTATCTTCAGAGACCATTCTCCATGTCAAGTGTAACACTGACATGGAGATGATGGGGGGAAAAACAGTCAGTTCTCTCACCTGCAGCGACACAGAGCAGAAAAACCACAATCATTGTTTCTCTTGGTGGTCTTCTGTGAGGGGTCGTCCTGTTGTTCTCTTCACTCCACTAGACAATCCTCCTCCTCATCCCCCTCTCTTCATTGTTTTACTTCCGTCTTGTGGGCAATGATGATGCTGAGCTTGTTTGATAACTGGGATTGAGAGGACTCTTCTGAGTGGGTGAGCTGAGGTCAATTTTTTTTCTCAATGGTTTTCCTGCAGCTGCTGGGTTTTTGTGGCTCCATCTGTCATCCACTGACACATTCAGTTAAACTTCACGTGTTGATGACACTCAGGGCTCACTCTGTTAAACTGCACACTCATGGTGCTGGGCTGATAAGAGCTATATTTGGCCTAACGAAAGTTCTGGATGCCCTTTTACAAAATTGTATCATCTTGCAACACATGACTGTATCATGTAAAATCACATTAACCACACCATCACTGGAGAGTTAGTAAGGGTCTATATTTACACGATGTAGAAACGGCTACTCCTAAGTACAACTTAATATTGATAATACTGCCAAAGTTAATGAATATCATGGTGCACTTTAACCTTTGCCCAATGTTTTATCAATCTATTACATTAAAGGTGGATTAATCAATCCTTTATTATAGTCCATACACATAGAACTGCTTCTTTAAGACCTTCTTCATCTTACCACAGGGTCTGTGCTGGGGGGATGTGTCAGTTGGTGTGCCGTGGGAAGGGGAGATAAGTCTGGTGAGCTGCTATCTCTATGACCAGCAAGGTCCTAACCATGGTCTCAATGTCACTCAAATTAGCAAGCTACAGCCTCACAGCATTGCCTGACTGATGTTGTACTGCGGTGATCCAGGTTTATAAGTCATATAAACACAGAGAATCTGACAAACTGCTTTCTAACAGGGATATTAAAACTGTAAAGACAACAGATATGACTGAAAACAAATTTCCCCAAGGGATAATAAATCTTAGCCAATAGCTGCCATTAAACATCAGCAAAAGTTAGCATTCAACCACTTGCTAGTCATGAGTTCTGTTTTTATATTAAGTCATCAACAATTAGCATTTAGTCATTTACTTCCAGGCTTAAATAATTGTGTTCCAAAGGTGCAGTCATATTTAAGGAAAAGATATATGCTCTGCTCATGCACAGCTCAGAAATAAATGAGCTCTGGCATGAGGAAGACCCCAACTCTTGTCCTTGTCCTTCTGATCCACAGGGAAAGAATCGTTTGTTTTATATTGACTGTGGTCTAGTGTCAGTAATATTTAACCTTGAAACATGGTCCTGTGTCTCCAGACTTTAACTGTCCATTGTCTTTTAAGATGGCGATCAGTTAGAAAGCAGTGACATTAAAACAGTCTGTCAGATTCTTTGTGTTTGTACAATTTCTAACCTGGATCACAGCAGAACATTACTCTGTTCAGAACAGCATGAGAGTGTCAATGAGGCACTATGTAGGCTGTTTGATAGTAAGTAAATGCATCGGCAAGAGGTTGTGTAAACAAGAGTTGTTTGAATGAAAACTTCACACAGCATCTTTTTAAGTTAAGAGATAAACTGCTACTGCATGATATGAGGACCTCATGATATGGGGACCTCAAGTCCTTTTTTCAAAAACAGAAAGGGCCTCCTCCACTGACCAGGAGTGGTCAGTTAGAGCAAGGCAGAGACTGGGAGATGTTGGTGGACGTGGGCCAGTGGCTTACAGTCCCAACACATATTGTCACTACCACCCTAAGACATGAACTGATACTCTGGTCCAACACCCTGCGCGTCCTCTATTTGTATTTGTAGAATTCACAGTACCCTGGGAGGATGCTGTTGAGGAAGCCAATGAGAGGAAAAGGCTGCGGTATGCAGACATGGCATTTGAGGCAGAGCACCGTGGCTGGAAAGCAATAGTTTGCCCTGTACAGGTGTTTCTTTACAGCATCCAGCATCAGGTTGCTCAGAGGTCTGGGGATCCAGACAAGCCCTGCTCCAGACCATAAAAGAAACATCACACTACAGAACGCTGCAGCCAATGGCTCTGGATCAGGAGGAAATATCCTAACTGGGCCCCAAGATGCTATGCACCCAGGTCTGATCAACCTGTGGAGGGCCTGCCTTAGAAGAGGTTGTCCTGTTATTAAAAGGCCGATTTGGCGGTAGACATTAATTGGTGCATACACGGGAGATTCTCCATCTTGTCCTGTTCTAAAATGGGAAGGTGTTTAGTTTAAAGATCATAGAGGTAATGATGTCTGACCTACTGAGAGGGCCACATGGCTTTCATAGTACTGCCAGTAGCCAGTCAGATTTACCTTTAGCCTCAGTGTACCCTCAATTTCAGCCTGTATCATTAATTACAAGGCTTAAACACTTGATGGTACAACTGAAGTGATGTCCCCAACATCCAATGTAACTGACCAAATTACTAAACTAATTTACTCATTACAAACTATACAGGGTAAAATTACTACTGGTCTGACTCTGTGATATCTTTTTCAGTGACAGTGCTCAGTTGCCACAAATATAAGCCACATGATACAAGTAGGCCCTGGTGCAAGTTTTTACCATTTGCACAATTGAGATTTGACTGGAATTCAACCTGTGGCAAACTGAATTGACTTAATATTGCTGCAAAGTAGACACAATTCTAACAACTTCCTGTATGCTTAGTGATCTCATTCTAAACAACAGCTCAGAATCACTCAGCGGAGCGACAGTTCATTCCTTCCTCCTCCAGTAGATGTCAGGCTTCACACAGATTTGAGTTTGGGGTCTGCTAAAGGAGCAAGTATTCTCATAAACGAACAAAAGTTATGTTGATAATGGAAGTCATACTCACCCTTTTATTTGCAACTCATTTGTGGTCTTAAGGTTGTGACTCTCAAAAAACACAATGTTTATATGTTTATAATATGTTTATATACATCTTGGTGTGTGTTGTATGAACCCATTAAAGCATTCTTTCATAGAATTTCTAGAGGTCAGAAACTGTAGGAACTTAAAAGTGCTGCATTAAGATGCTCATTATATCATTCTTTCGGCATAATAATATAACAATAATGCTGTTGTTGCACTTATTCCACATTCTTTTGCTCAACATAGTTGGCACATAACTAATCTAACTACACACACCATTTTGTTTTTGTACTTTCCTTTATTAGATGTTAGCACCTGATCTGTCAAGACCTTCAATGTATTAATCACAGTCTGTCATTCAGATCAAATATTACAGAAACATGCATTTTTCACTACCAAAGTTTTTATCATAGAAGTTAGACAGATGTTTGTAAAACTTTAAAAAGATTTTGTTATCTTATCTCACATGATCGTGTTATCTTAATGTAAATCCAACACAGACCATTACACCTCCCAGCACACATACTGCACAGCTCATATTACACGAGGAGCTAGTTTGAATAAAAACCATCACTGGCTGAGGTTTGAGATTAAAATCCTTTTGCTGGTTGATTATTACAATATAATAATAATAATAATAATAATAATAATAATAGTAATAATAATAATGGCTGTTTAAAATTAAGCTCAGTGTGTTTGGCGAGTGCTCAGAGTACAGAGGCCTCATGGATGGCTTCACAGTCCTGGTCTGGGACACAAAGGCTGCAGTGAATTCCCAACCTGCGACCTGCTGCAGGGTCATAAGAGGGTGCAGAAACAGCAGCGCCTCATCTGACGTGCAGTCCTAACTTCCTCGGGGCCTTGGGCCTCAGGAGCCGCTGATTCCTCTTTGCACTCTGACACCGAGCCGCTGGAGGTGGACAACAGCCTTCCGCACACCAGGTCAGCAGCTTTTCCATCCATGACGGTCAAGTCTGTGACTGTTTTCTCTCTTAGCGACATGTCCCCATCATCGTCATCATCTATCAGGACAAACTCCTTGAGGTAAACCATTCCCATCCCGTGTAGACTGTGGTTCTCTGTTAAATCCTCCACAGTGTGGGCGTCTACAAAGGTCAGAGTTGAAGTCTCTGTCAGAGTCTCGTGTGGGTCTGTAGAGTTGTCCTCCGGCCCTGAGTAGGCCTGGCTGCTCGAATCCATTGTCCACATGGAGTTCCTGTTCACACTCTCGTCTTTCACAGGGTATCTTTGGTCTTGGCTTTTCGAGACGCAGTCTGGCATCTTGGTGGTGACCTTGTCTCTCTGATTGTGGGAAGTATTCTCTGTGGCATGGCCATTACCAGGATACATTGTATAAGCCACTTTCTGGTAGTCATAGTAGACCTGCACGCTGCTGCTCCCTGTAGGAGAAGACAGAGGGATGAAGGCGGTGTCGCCGTTTCCTTGATTCTTCATCTATTTCTTGCTGCTGCACTGAAACAAAACAGAAACAGTCATGTTTAATGTTCTAGTAAGTGGAACTTCCTTCAGTCTACTGTATGTGACATTTGCTATACACGTGTATGTTTCATTCAATTTTTTAAATCTTAAGATCCCTGAAACTAGAAGAGGTAACAGTAAGTGCAGTGGAGCTGTTTTATGAACAACGGAAGAGCTGTCATTTTCTATTGGCCTCTGTGAATAAATAAATGAAGCTGCCACTTTGAAAAGAAGCAAAAAATAACTTAAATTCCCAGAGGATTGGCTCTTTGAAGAAGGAGACAGATGAACTCCTCTAAAGTGCTCTAACCAAGACAGGAGTATGTGTGAGTGTGTTTCATCTAGCTCTCTCTCACTACCACACACACACACACACACACACACACA